ATAAGTTGTGTAAGAAATTGTACGAATCATCATTGACAAAAATATATCGGATTAGATGACTAATTGCTGCCAAGGTACAGACAAAGAGATTTACAAAAGTTGGGTAACGAATTAACAAAAACCAGTGAGTCAGGAAATGTTCTAGAAAATAGTAAAACGTAATAATTAGTAACTGACAAATAATAAATCCTAACGCTAAATAATGAATAGTAATAATAATAATAATAACAATAATAATAATAATAAATATATAACAATAATAATAAATATGTAACAGTAGGTAAAAAAACTATACAGGGTAAATAAAAAGTATGAAATCAAACTTTTTTTTAAATCGATTACTTTTAGAAAATATGAATTAATAAAATTTAATTTGCTATAAAATATGTAATCGTGTTTAAAAATAAAATTTTGTTTTGTTTTTGAGTTATGCGATTTTTTTTCAAAATGGCAACTTATATAAATTTTTTTATTAAAAATTAAATAAAATGTAGATAGCTATATAATTCTTAGATCATTGTCTTTGTAAAAAAGATTTTATATTACTATTAACTAAAAATAAAAAATTTCCAAACTCGAAAACTAATTTCGAAAAATTTTATTCTTGAAAAACAATCACATTTTTATTGTAGGTACTTGATATTGTACTAATTATTTTTTCCGTAAATAATTAATTTATGCATATTAATTTAAAAAATTTATCTATAAAAATTTCGAAGTTATAAGAGTTTAAATTTTGCACTTTGACTCTATTAATTTCTGTTGGAAAAATAATTTTTCAAGTTTTTTGCTATTGGCTATTAAAAGAGGAAACAAGGAAGCTATATCCTAAATTGTAATTCTGTTCAATGTTATTTGTGGCTTATATTGGCAAATTTTTGTACCTTTACTAAATAATTGTAAAAAAAACCTATACAAGATCATCAGTATGATTAAATAGACATAAAAAGTCAAAATTTTTTGAGAAATAGAATTTTTTGAACATTTTTTTCATGTTCCTAGTATCTTATCTTACATGAAATTTTTCTCTGGGTGCGAGTTCTGTCGCACCTTATATTTATTATCAGCGTAATATTTATATAATATTTAATCATTTTTTCCAACAAACTTTTGCTTTACCAGATTTTTTAAAAAGATATGAAAAATGTAATTTGAAATTACACTCTCATTTTCGGCTTTTAATAATTAATTAATGTTTATGAATTGCTTTCCTTTTTTCCATTCCGAAAGAGTTCATTCATCAAATGTGACACCACAATATACGATTCGTTGTGACTTTTAATGATTTTTACCAAAATTAAAAATTTTCATAGTAAATTATTCCCTCATGCTACTGACTAAAACGCTAACCACAATCAGTTGAGATTATCAGAAAATACATCCACTGAAGCAAACCCTGGATTAAAGTGTAGTCATTTATAAAATCAATGTTGTGATATGCATTAATCGGAACTACAGTCTATGCGGGCATTCATTTATTATCTACCAATATTAAATTAACTTTTCCGGTCATTATCCCCTTTATCGGTCCCATTCTCCCGTAAATCCTGATTAAATTTAGTCATAATCTCCCAAAACTTAAGCAACAATTAAAAACACTCCCATCTATAATAATTCCTCCCGACTGCGCCATTTTCCCCATTTTCATCCTAATCCATTCCCTCAACTCTCCACTCAACTAATGTTTAAAGTATAAACCAAACTCGTTGAAAGTCTAAAAACGTGAATTACACTAATGAGTGTAGCGGAGGTTTGCTCCCCATCTCTTTCATTAAAAACTGGCTGCATTTTGCCCATTATGCGGAAATAACGAGTCGTCGTAGCGACTTAACCTCAATGAGCACTTGACATGATTAACCTTGAGCCGTCACAGCCGCCCCGACCAAATGTAACCGAAATATAGATTAATTGCCTCCACGGCAATAATTGATTTCATTTTTTGCCGCGTAAGTTGAGACAACAGCAATGATAAATGGGGAGAAGAGTTTGCCGGAATAAATAATTTTTACAGGTAGGAAAATCAAAAAATTAAATGGGAAAGCTCGAGTTGATATAATTTTCATTAGTGAGTATCCGCGGCAACAATTGTAACTCGAGACTTGATGAAAACTTTTAATTGCCTACACTTAACCGCCTCAAGAAAAGTCGCGCCAAAAATCGCATCGATTTGCGCTGCTTTGAAGAAAACTCGTGAAAATGTGACAATGAAATTGAAAAAATGCGGTACTGGACACACGGCACATCACAATATCGACTCTTGAATAATAAACGCATAACACGTTTTGTGTTAAATACGAAAAACATTTACACTATAATTGAGTTAATAGTGGCCGAAAGTGGCAAATTACTATTAGTGGCGTCGAACCCAAACTTGCCTCGGTTAGTGTTATTGAGAATCGATCTGATGACGGAGAAGTTATTGCGAGAATAGTTTAGTATTAAACAGTGCGAATCGAACAATTCGAATCGCGTATTGATGCTCCGGAACTCGTAAAATCGCAAACTTGACTGAAAATTCAGTGTGAATCGGTATTTGCAACATTCCAGCAGAAAATCTAGTTCTAGTAAGCAAGTTTTCCTTTTATGTCTTTTGATATGCCGGGTTTCAAAAAATTGAAAATTAAAAAATATTTTTTAAAAGAATCCAGTGTTAAAACATGTCAGTCTTCAAAACTTCTTTACCTACCACTATTTATCTTTCTTTATCGCGAAAGAAAGTTTGGAATTAATCTATCATTATTTAAAAATGAGTTTAATGGCATTTTTTTGACATCTTAAAAGAATACTTTTTGCTTCAGAGATGCAAAAAACATTAACAAACTGTGTGTAAACACACATACGTTTGTTTAGTTTTTTTCTTCATAAAATTATAAAATGTAAAAAACAATAAATTTTATGTAAAACCAACTCCAAACAGTTGATGTTTACATCATTTTATTGCATTTCATACATAAATCAATTATTATTTAAAAACCGCAATTAAAAAATTTGATTTGTTTTTGTTTTTAATTAAATAAAAAACGTTCATTACCTTAATTTAATTAACAATTTGTTATAAATGCAAATATGTTGAAAACTGCAATTGAAGTACATACTCGTTAATCTTTATTTTTCATTCATTATTGTTGTCAAAATTGTTGACGTAAAATGAAAAAATATACAGTGTTTTTGTCCGCACACCACTGGTAAAAGTAAAAATATAGTAATTGCGAGTAAATAAGCTCTTTCAAAGCTTACAATAACTGTAATATTTTATAAAAATAGCTCAAGTGATTTTGGAAGAACTAATAGATTTTAATTTTTATTATGAAATATTATCACCCTGTATATTCGTAACAAAGTTTTATAAGATTATTGTTTACCTGACAAATTAATGTTATTTTTTGATGTAGAATAAATAATTGCAATTTTTCGCAATATTAAAAAAATCCTATAAAACATTATTAGCCCGGCGCATCCACCATTTTTCCTAATTGATGTTTAAAACTGTAAACAATTACATTGTAATACTTCCTAATTATTTTGAAAAATCTGAATTTGTCAAAATCACCTCATCCTCAGTTTTAGTACATGTATAAGTAGTAAGTATTGTTTTTAGACCTGTTGTAAATAATAGAAAAACATCAGCAATATAATTTTAAAAGCATAAACTTTCTAATACAACAACATTATGCAATTTCTCATTTTAGCTCATAACTCCTTTTTAACAGCCGCATAAAACTCTAAGCCATCATTAACAAACTATTCCAACACGTTTATAGCTTTAAGTTATTTACTTCTGGTTCGTATAATCAAATTATCAAACATCAAAAAAGAAAATATTAAATTTTATGGCAAAGTTAACAAAACTAGGTTTGTAACTTTTATTCCATAAATTATAATTCTAAAAAAAGTATAAAGCAATGCTACAAATTTTACTGTAGGGAATAAAGCAATTTTCCTAATTTATCATTCTTGTCCATTGAGATCATTTTTCTTCAAGTCGACTCTGAGTTACAGAAATGTAATATTCGAATCTGAGGAAATGCAGCTGCTGAAAATTATTTCACATTTTAACGATGGTATTTATTTACTGATATTATAGTTTTTTTAATAAAAAACTCAAATGTTTGTCGTTCATATATGCCAACTAACATTTTGGTACAGTGCTCTTCAATTAGTGACAGTTTCCAATGTCACTTTTTAATAAGTAGTGTTAAAAATATGTTAAAATGTTTGGCGAAGCCCAATATTTGCATTGATGAAATGTATATTTTCAGTGCAATATTTGTACATTTTGAAACAAAGCTGATACCTCAGTGAAAAAACTTCAATTACAATTCAGTTTTAATTGAAGCCCCGGAAATCCCCAGTATTAGAAATCGATCTGCTATGAAATTTCTCAAGCGTAGAATACATTGAAATAGTAAAACTCTGGATTTGGAAAACAAATGTTTGTGTTCGAAATAAATTAATTAAAACTTTATGAAATCTACTTTCGTTTCAAAAATGGTATAAAATCAAAAAATCATTCATCCAAGCGTCTGATTGATTGAAAGCATCTGTAAAGTGCAGAGCTAAAAGGTTTAAGCGTGCGGAAACGTTCGAAAACGAAAAATAACAAATTTTATTACGAAACGATAAATATGAGAACAAAGCCCGTTCAGTCCTTTTGACATATTTCCAGTTAAACGAAATTCAACAAAAGTTACACAAAAATATGATGAATATGCAAGAACTCCTTTTTCCGTTAATCAACTCTTAGGTCCCCTAGTCGCAGAAAAAATACTAAAGAAATGAAAAACAAGCACGACTTTCAATGGCGCTTTCTCAGCCAAAAACTGCAAATCGATGTGGAAATTAATTCCCGATTTACAACTTTTTGTTGACATTCCTCGTGAGCGCATTATACCGAAAGTGTCACGCTAACTTTCACAATTACTCAAAAGTTGCTGGAAAGGGAAAAAGTGAGTCGCTTTGATGGTATTAAGGGAGTAAAGGAGGCGTTTTTGATTACTTACCGGCGTTTGTTCTTCCGGTCTTTCCTAATCCGGTGAGGAAGACGAAGACGACGAAGAGGAGCGTGTCCATGGCTCGCACACGTCCACACTGCAGGATTTTAGACGCACCACTGAGACTCCACAGGTGCAGAACGTCGCGACGCCACTTCCGGGGCGTGCGCGAAAAAGCCCATATCATAACTGTTACACTTGAGCGGATTAGGGAGAATGTGATGACACCCTGGACAATTCTTGGACACGAGCAGAATGAGACGAATAACAAGAGTGTATTAAGACCTAATTTCGAGATTTTTTGCCCCAAATGTAATTGCTAATTATTTTACAACTAGTTTGAAGAAAGTTATTTACGAACCAAATGCGAAGAAGCGAACAATAGTAGATTGTTTAACAAGTAAAGAAAACTCACTTTTCTTACGCACTGAACACGTACTTTTTTCGTGAACTTCACGACTTCACGAAAATAAGTTCCACTTTTCTTAATTATTTTGGGTTAAACAATTTCTATTAAGTACACGAAAAAAACATTTTTTTATTATGTAATAAAATTCGGATCTAAAGAATATTCGATTACAAATTATCTTGATCGCTCGAAACTTGTAATAGCCATTTAATTTTACTATTTCGTAATTTTCGACATCCAAAGTAAAAAAATGTAAATGTGTAAACCAGATTTTATTATTATCAAGTCAAATTAATTTTAAAATGCTAAAAAGGCAGTGTCAAGTGTCAAAAATTTTAACTGTCTAATATAATAATAAATTCCATTTAAAAAGCGCTTAATAGGAAAAAATGTACAAAAAACGCGTGTTACAACCTCTCATTGTGATACTCGTGCATCTGTAACACTCGTATCATAACATAATGAGAATGTTTGTAGCACTTGTTTTAATATACTATTATTTTGTACTCAATGTTAAAGAGTGCTTTTATCAACTAATTTCAGTAGATAAAGTAGCCTTTTATCGTCTAGTGAAATAAAATAATTTTTATCTACTGTTTGTATACAAGAAATTCTGGTACGTGAGTACAGTTGGAGACAAAATACTTTGGTCGTCACTTTTCGGACACTTTAATGTAATTCAAGCTTTAACGTTAAAATGAATGACAATTTCAAATTAATGACAGCTAATATATTTTCCTATCAAAAATATGTACATACAACTTCTCAACTATGATTGACAGTGGCTAAAAATAAGGTTAACAGTCCTAAAGCATGCTTTACAATTTAATGTCACTCAAGTGATATTGACGACCAAACTATTTTGTCTCCAACTGTACAAAATAAAACGAAATATTGTACACGACGTTATCTACTCGTGAAGAAAGTCCACTCGTGACTTCGTCACTCGTAAACTTAACCTTCTCACTCGTAGATAAATAATTTCTTTATCGTCTTGTATAATAAATAACTATTGTTTATTTTTATAAACATTAGAAATTGCGCTTGTGCACCTGTCATGAATCAAACGAATTTAAGTTATTTTTTAAATTTTGACAATTTGTGGATTTTTAAGCAAATTTGTTTAATGGCAGGGTTAAGAAAACTGTATGTCCCGTCCTTTTCATCTAATAACTGGCATTTTTATTAACTATTTGTTTATTTAAAAAAAAAAGTATAACCACCCACCGCGCATGCGCGCTGCCAACACTGACATGTGTAAATTCAAAAGTTCTTACCACTACCCTACTACTTTCTTAATGTTCTTACCAGCCTCACAGATTAGTTGCTTGCGACTTTTTTTAGTAATTGCATTGGACTTACATTTCTTCACCAAATTCGTTCATCTGGGATAATTGAAGCTTGATATCAGACATAATGACTTGATTCAAATAAACTCGATCAAATAATAAAATGTTAAAATTGTAAAAACTATGATCAAGACCACATAAATTGAACACAAGAAGCTGGTAAGAACACTAAGAAAGCAGCGGCAGAGGTATTTAACTCTTATCACGTATTTTGTTGAATAAAGTTTAGTACCCGCAACGAGATTTTTTTGTAGCGATTTTGTTAAATTTTGAGGGTTTATAGAAGGAAATTTCCAAGAAAGAAGGCTGGCGAAGCACCAGATTTGGAGTAAAAGTCACCAACCCGGAGAGAATTTCGATAAGAAATGAAAATTTTGTTGTTCCCGGAGACCTACCCAGAACTCCGAGGCCGAAGAATGCGTCCAAATTTTATTGTGTTACTTGTTTGTAAAGATTTGTGTATTACTTTATGTATTAACGAAGTTTTAGTATTTTAAGTTTGTTTGTAAATATTTTGTAATATTTTAAGTATGTAAATTTGTTTTTAAAGATTTGTATTAGTTTATGTATTAATGAAGTTAATGCACCTCTACTTTTGTTAAACAATTTCAAATATATTTATAACAAATTCAAACTTTGTCCACTTCTTTTGTGCATCTCTTGGTACTCCTTGAACATATACAACTCCTTAAAAGTGGCGATCCTCAAATTCCTGATACTGGCTTTGGGGTTCAGTTCAGCCACCAACATAGACAACCCTCACACTAGAGGTGGCGGGCTAGAGGCTACTAACTGCAGACAAACACGGTGTCGATGTTCCATTGCCTACTACAATTTTCTGAAAATGACAAATTACACTTTTTCTAATACATCCTATATTTTATTGCATCTTTGTATGGCATTTTTTATGAGCTTTTTGCCGATATAGGGTTTGTGGGGTCTACTCTGCAAAATTTGTGAGATCTGTGCAAAATAAGAAATGTTGAAAAAAAAGGCATGCAGTAGAAAATCATTTTTTAGAATATTTTCTGTTTGTCACCAGAAACCACATATAACCTCCAACCTATAGAGTTTTAAATCAAATTTAATTAATTTAACTTAATTAATCTAATTCCTCTGAATTGAACTTAAGGCAATTTAGTAAATCCTAGGTAGTAACTAGATGTATAAGTTAAAATCAAACTCCCAAATTTAATTTTTATTTTATTTTCATTGAATTTACATAACTTAAAAAATCACATCCAAGAAAAAGAATGACTATATACAAATTAATTATACCTCCGTTTATAATTAATTAGCTTAGATAATACAACCACTAAAAAACTCAAACTACTTATGTTTACTCTTCTTCCTCTTCTTTTGCTTCTTTTTATGTTTCTTCCTCTTCCTCTCCTTATCATCATCGGACGAATCCGATTCCGAATCCGAACTACTCGAACTCGAATCTTTCCTACTCTTTTTCTTTCTGTGTTTCTTATGTTTCTTCCTTTTCTTGTCATCATCTGAACTTGAATCGGACGAATCGGAACTCGAGCTCGATTTTTTCTCTTCGACTTTCTTTTCTTTTCTCTCTTCTTTCTCCGATTCGCTTTCCAAATCATAATCTGGCTCGAAATTAGCCTCGTCAATCGTCGGCTTTCTCTTTTCCGCTACAGTCTTGACCCTCTGTGCTTCATTAACCATGGGCTCTTCCTTCTTCTCCTCATCGTCTTTGTTTTTCTTTAGTTTTTCCTTTTTCACTTTCTTGTCCTTCTTCCTGCGTTTGTCTTTACGGTCTTCACTGTCGCTTCGTGACTTTGAACGTTTCCTTTTTTCTTTCTTTTCTTCTTCTTGGCCAACACGTGTTTTACTTTTAGAGCGATCACGTCTTCGATCATCTCTTCTTCGACTCTCATTTTTATCTCGTCTGTCTCTTCTAGAAAAGTCATCTCTGCGAAAATCGCGTCTGTCCCTATGACGAGACCTTTCCCGAGACCTTTCTCTTCTTCTTTTATCAACAACTTCGACTCTTCTTTCCCCCACGCCGTAATTTCTAGCAATTTCATTGGCACGTCTAGAAAACGGTGAAACGCTCCGAGACTTGTTTCTATCGACTTTAACAATTCTGTCAATATCATCGATTTTAATACCGAGACGTTCTTTGACAGACAATCGGACAGGAGGCTGACTAGGAGCTTCAATCTTCTTACGTTCAGACTTATCTTCAGTGTTCAAAATACTCTTTATCTCAATATCTTCATCTTTTTCATCTTCCTCCTTTTCACCAGAGTAAAGCTTGGCTCTATCTGTGCTAATCTTCTTGATTTCAATGGGACGTATAGCGTTGATAGCTTTAGCGAAAATTGCATTTTCCGCTCTTTTCAATACCTAATACACAAAATAAAAGTTAAAACATCGCCACAGTTAATTTGGCTTACCTCATTGGTAACCTTGCCCAATTTATCGGACTTCACCTCATTTCGTCCTAATTCTTTTGGACTAGTTTGCGAATGTAGAGTAACGTCATCTTCGACTTCCCATTTCGACTTCTCAGGTAAATGAGCTAACATTTCGTTTTTGACGTCCAAATCAGTTTTCAAATCAATATCTGGATGAATCTCCAAAATATCCTTCTCCGAATCTTCATATTCTTTATGGATTTCGCGTTCTTCTGAAGTTCTTTCCAATGGTTTCTCTTCAAAATTCTCTTCTTTTTCCATACTTGACTCTTTCATTTTACCATAACTCTCCATAACATTCGTATCGACACCTTCTGTTAACATATCATCATATAAATCAGGTTTTGGTTCTTCCTTATTTTCCTCATTAGAGTTAGGACTTCGTCCCTTCTTCTCTTCATCTTCTTCTTGTTTAAGAAGAGCCTGGTCTTTAACATCCTCTTTGTGTTTCTTCTCTTTATGCTTTTCCTTTTTTTCCTTCCGTTTCTTCCTATCTGAATCCTTCTTCTCTTTCTTCTTCTTTCTATCTTTACTCTTTTTTGATTTCTCTTCATCAGAAGTCGTCTTCTTATCGTGATCGCTCGACGTATCCCGTTTCTTCTTCTTGTGTTTCTCCGGACTTTCTTTGTCTTTCGACTTGGACTTCTTTCGAACTTCTGGACTTCGTTTCTTCTCTGGTGACCGACTTCTCGCCTCATGTCTCCTCTTCTCTTTCTTTCCTTCGTCCTTCTTCTGCTCCCGATTCGGACTTGGGAATCGATCAAACCTTTCCTCAAATCTGGTATTCTCCAATCCTGGAATCGGTGGTTCCTCCACACCAGGTGGCGCTACGTCATCGTAGCGTCGCGGTGGAATCATAGCAGGCGGCATGACGTGAGGTTCCTTGGTATAAGGTGGCGGAAAATCTCTCGGAGGGTACCTAAACACACAAAAACACAAAATAAAAACAAACGAATGCAAAAATGTAACGGGAGTGAACAGAACAGTACGACCAACCAATTGTTTCGTGGAAGAAACCCTCGATGTGCGATTGTTTGGCGACCTGAAACATAACTTTAACAAAGCAGTTTTGATTCCATGAGTGAAATAAACAGGTTTTGCTTGGATGGTTTATTAAAGTTTGTTACAATTTTACAATTACTTAATTTTTCCCATCGTTACTGAAGAAAAATTAAGGTGGTACAAAATAGTATACAATCACACATGTTTACAGCCTTGGACACGATAAAAAATATCACATTTTTCGATAGTAAATGTATCACAGTTACAAGTCTACAGATTTTGCGACTGACTAGATAGCAAATTTTAATTCAATAAATAGAAAAATATCATCACAAAATCTGTAAATAATTGTTACACAAATAAGGGTATTAAAAATGGCATCATTTAACTAATTAAATATTTACATAACTTAAAAGAGTGATTATCATAAACTTTTACTTTTTTAGTTTGCTTTAACAATTTCGCATAAGTTGTGTTACATGCGATATGCAACTCTTGTCGAATTCATTCGTGTAAATATTAAACAAGTTATTACTACTAATAAAATAAGTTGAATTAAAAATTGTAACATAAAAGCAAAAATATCTTAAAAAATCGGTTAGATTTCCGAATAAAACAAAACAAACAAAAGGTTCTAAAAAAAAATTTTCACAACTTCAGTCACGTCGCACACCTCTCACAAAACATAAAACGTTGCAGTGGGAAATTAGAATAAACTCGTTTACCAAATACAGTAGTGAAATGCGTCGTAGAATTAATTAATTTTAATCGTAATAAAAAGTCTATAATAACCATTTAAGAAAATATTTGTCCATTTTGGACCATCTCTTCCCAAAATGAAAATACGTCCCGCAACTTATTTCCTACATATCCAATCAAACAAGGTTTTCTCTCCATTCAACCTTATTCAATCAGAAATATAAACATCAATGAAACGAATAAAACAGCCTTGATAACATTAATTGAACATCAATTCTGAGATGGGCAATTCACCAATGTCCTATCTCAGCCAAAAAAGAAAACACAATCGATTTATACAATTATCACTACAAAAGAAAAAATACGTAAGACACGGAACCAATCCCGTTCCCTGTCTTTCGCACACGTTACTACGACCGTTGATAAATTATCGTCACAATACCTGTTTGTCGGCGGCGGATACTGATGCTGCATTTCGCTCTGGTAGTAAGAATCGGCTTGCGATTGAGGCGGCGGTCCTCTCGGCTGACCCCATCCTTTTCCTCTCGATCTTTCATCGTAGTTGTCGTAGTAATAATCCCTGTCTCTGTCGCGATCACGATCTTCACGCCCTCTATGCTCACGGTCTCTGCTATAGTCGCGATCATCTCGACCGTAATCCCTGTCGCGATCATTGTCATGATCGTGATCGCGAAACTGGTGGCTGTCCTTGAAACGGTGTCTGAAACAAACCGATTAATCACAGTTACCAACACAAAACCAACTAAAAAATAGTAAAATCAAGAAAAAATAATCAACGCATGCGGCTACGTCCAACCAAACAACCGAAATAAAATGGTAATTCTTCCAAAAATTGTTGACATTTTGGGAAAATTAAGCTAACTGGATCAGGCAGGCGACTTTAACTGACCTTGGAGGCGAGCGAATGGGCGACCTGTAGCGCGAAGGTCCCCTTCGTCTCGGGGGCGAATGTCTAGGGGAGAAGTCCCTAAACGGGGTACCCCTCAAACTGCCCGAGAACGATCTCGAGCGCGACCTACAATTAGAACCATTTCAAATTCGACGCTTGTCTAGTCACGATTTTGAACACGAATCAAGGAAGAATCGCCAACTGCGTTCACACTCACCTACTGATTGAAAACGATCTTGAACGACTCCGCCTCCTCGGCGAGCGACTTCTCAAACGACGCGGTGACCGGCTGTAGCTCCTACTCCGACTTCGACTTCTGCTGTAACTCCGCCTTCTTTTGGCACGCCTCTCCCTCTCGTCCTTTTCACGAAGCATACGATTAAAAGCCGCTAACGGATCATCGATGACTCTGTAATTTCTCCTATTAGAAAAACAAAACAAAATTTTAATTAAAAAAAACGAAAAACTAAATCGAAGACCCTCGGGTAACCTACCCCGATGGTGTCCTGCCTCTCATTCTGCGGTCACTCATCCCGTAATCCCGGTGATGCGATCTTGAACTTTGATAGGAGGGATTGTACATAGGTGGAGGTCCAGTCATGGGAGGCCTACTTGTGTCGAAAATCGGTCTCGGGGGAACTTGATATGGACCTGGAGGCATATAAGGAGGAGCCGCGCCTGGTGGAGGCAATCGGAAATTAGGAGGGGGACCGTTGGTCGGTGGAAAAGTTCCTATTGGTGCCGGCGGATTAGCATAACCGGGTGGAAAATTAGGAGGCGGGCCTTGCATAGGCGGAACCATCCCCATCATGGGCGGAGCATTATACGGCCGTACTTCAGGAGGCGGATAATTCGCGTTAGAAGCCACGCCCGGCTCATCTATAGTAGGAGTGCCAGCCCTTTCTTCAGAACGTCTGAAATCACACAATAGAAGCACCACTAATAAAAAAAATAATAAACAAATACCCTGAATCGCGATAAGGCGAATTGCGATGATTACGATGGTGGCGCCGCGGAGACTCATCACGTGACCTGTGCTTGTGCTGTCTTGACGTGTTTGATCGTTCACGTGACGAGTTAACTCTCTTCGTTATCGACTGTGTTTTCGGCGATTCGGCCGGTGAGACACCTGGAGGACCTTCAGGGATGGTCTCAGGCTCGACTTTCGGCGAACTTTTAACCTCCACCTGTCAAAGAAACATTAAATTAAACATTAACACATATTCAAAATTACCTTTTCTTCATTTTTCGAATGCTCAGTCGAGTCTGCTTCACTAATAACAGTTTTTTCCTCTTCCACCTTAGATTCTGGCTGAAGCGTCGGTGCTTCCTTGATCTTGACCTCCGAAAGATCGTCGACTCTAGTCGAACTCTGTTTATACACCGGTTTTTTCACATATCCAGTCGTATTTTTAAAATTTGCGACTGAATTTCGCAAAAATCGATTCGGAATTAAAGTCGTCGGTGAAATATCTTTCTCATGACAATCAGGACACTCATGCTCCTCACTCTCGAGTAAAAAGCTCCTAATGCATTCATCGCAAAATGAATTTCCGCAACAGGGAATCATTACAGCATCAGTCAATAAATCAGAACATATTGAACAAAGCAAATCTTCAGGAATTTCAGGTTTTAACTCCTGAACGGGTAGCGGCGCTGGAGCTGTTTGTTTTTGTGTGTACGTTTGGTGGTCTAAAACTGGGACGGCGTAGGAACCATTGGGAGTCATCATAGCCCCCTGTACTTGGGGGCCTTCTACTGGCACCATAAAACTTAAGGGTATGCCAGTGCTTTTTTTGATTTCGATAGGCTCAGGGCCCTTGCTAAGAGGACAGTCTTTGATCCAGTGACCCGTCTGGTGGCACTTGTAACACCGGTAGTTGGGCGGTACGGCCCCCATCTGATTGGCTCCGCGGATTTTCATGTAACTAATACCAATTAAAACAACATAGTTAAAATGACTAATAACTCACTTGCTGGGATCATAATCTTGGGTGGATTGCGATATCATTGCTTTAATTTTATCGTCTTCAGGAGCATCTAGACTTGACAAGTCTACAGCTTTAGCAATAGGGCCCATTTCATCTAATTTCATAGGAGGCGTAGAATCGCCCCCATAGCCTTCCCATTGTTTACTTTTAGTCTGAGCAGCAGTCGGAATACGCGCAATTAGAAGTGATGTATTTTTCGGGATTAACACATTCTCGTCTTCATAAACTAGAAAAAAACACTGTAAAACAATTCTAAATTACTTATTCAGCTCTTACCTTCTTTAGTTTGGGCATTGGTCACTTGTAGATCAAAATCTGTATTTTTCCCAATTCTTTTTTGCTGTATAATGGAATTTTTTAAATCTTTAACGGAAATGTGTAAACCATCGAATGTGACTGTGTCATATTCTAAAGCTGACTTAAATTTATAATGTACGGACATTTCTTTATATTTCAGAGAAGCCCTAATTCACCTACCGACACGAAAACTGTTTTAGGCCAAAATTCACAAATTTGAGATACTTACAACAATGTGTTACATTAATTACTAATCAAGAAACTAAAAAACACATCAAGAGATGTTCAAAACACCGTTTTAGTGTTTATTTAATTATTTTTACACGATTGTGTCTCAAACATGTTTGCTTGACAGTTGACAGGTGAACTAAAATGGCGGTTGGATAAAAGCAGGGCGTGATCTAGCCGACAAAACAGACAGTTATAATTTAATAGTTTATTTAATTTTACTTGTCGCATTTATTTTACAACTATTGAAATATGTATAATGTTACAAAGGTCTATTTTTTATTTTATTAGTAAATGAAAAGTTTCCTGGGAGTAGCGTTTTTTTAAAGCAAAAAAAGGCGCGCAAAAAATCAACATACAAAAAAGTTTGACATCATTTATCTCTTGTAAAATTTTACAAGACGCTCGCCGCCCAGTTTTACCTATTTCTACCGTACTTTTGCATCCGAAATGGCCACATTCCAAATACACGACGATTACTCCTCTTTAGTGGAAAACAAGAAACCGAAGAATCTTCAGTTTGCGAAAAAACTCAAGTCGAATATCCCAAGAATTGCCCTTCAGCCCATCCATACCTTCCAACAGAACGCCAAACGACCCAAACCGGTGGAAAAAGAAGATCCTGCAAAAATGCTAGCGGTGAGTACTGCCGTAGTATCGAAACCCGAAGCCCAGGTCCCTGAGGTCGATTATCCCGTCAAAACGATTAGATTTAAACCGGTGTTCAAAAAGACGAATTTGATTTCAAAAACAAATAATTTAATTGAGAAAGAGTACGAGGAGGAGATTCTGAGATACTTATTCGCTCTTGAGAAAAGGGCACAAATCATCAAGCCGCATTACATGACAAAGCAATTACATTTGAACTGGGAAATGAGAAGTGTGCTTATAGACTGGCTCGTGAGTGTAGCTCATGAGTACAAGATGAGTAACAATACAGTACATTTGACGGTAAATTATCTCGACCGGTTTTTGAGCAACATCTCGGTGGTAAGTCTTCTTAACTTTCTTCTCACTGTTCCTAAATCTCTGCAATTAAGATAAGAGGAAAATTACAATTGGTTGGAGCCACAGCAATGATGATAGCCGGCAAAATCGAAGAAATCTACCCACCGGACTCCAAGGAATGGTCCTATTTGACCAGAGACGCATTTAGCGTTGATCAGATCCACAAAATGGAGCAACTTATGCTCAAAGTCCTCAATTTTGAGATGAACCCGCCCACCATCTTAGATTTCATCAAAAGACTCTGTACCAAACACAAGATCGATAAGAAAACCATGTATCTAGCTATGGTAAGTTAAAAACTTGCAAGAAAAAAATGTCAAACTTTTTATCCAGTATTTAAGCGAGTTGGTCCTACTCGAAGGCGACGAATATTTGCAACATTTCCCGTCGAAATTAGCATCCGCGGCTTTGGCTCTAGCACGCTACACATTATCTAAATCGGACCCTTGGAACAGGAAATTGGAGGAAACGGCCGGCTATACCTTGAAACAGTTGAGCCCAGTGGTCCAGAAACAGCAAAAGACGTTCAAGAGTTCACCGTTTAAGGAACACCAGGCCATACAGAAGAAGTATGCCAGTGAGAAGTACCAGAGGGTGGCGCTTCTAAAACCGCGAATTTTGGAGCTCGATGGTGAGGAGTAATTATAGGAAATAGGTACATGTGACTAAAATTGTTTCAATTGTTGTAAATTACATGTGAGGGAGTAATAAAGTATTGTCAAGTTTTATTCGATTTTAAATTACAAAACTAATACAGTTTCGTCTCAAACGTAATAATCTTTCTGTGAACTTCTTCAACAGAAAGACTGTTCACAAATGTATAAAACAGTCTCGCACTTTGAATATTAAATTTTTGGGTAAAAGATCTACGAAAAGTATTTCGCGCCAATTCAACCAATTTTGGAATTTTTGGCTGATTGTCGATTTTTTCAAAAATATTGTCATCACTGAAAGCGTAACACAATTCTCTTAGACGAGGATGTGCAAAATAATCCAATAAAGCGTCTATATTTGTCAAAGAATATTTGCTTGGATCTTTAAGATACGTTTCAAGATCCAAAGTTACGTCGTAAAGAAAAAGTAACAAGATATCGTCAATTTGATTCTCACCAGAACATTCGAAGTCCATATGCAACAAAATTTTCAATAGTTCGGTGTAACCATATTTGTTATAAAAATGTTGCAAATCCGACTCTCTTAATTTAAAACCGTAAGATAATAAAAAACATATTTGACCTAAAGCAATATTTTCTGATTCACACCCAATTATAGTTTTAATGTCGTAAGAGTTATTTAAGACTTGTAAAAAATTTATTGCATCCCATTTTAAATCACTTTCAATTAACAAGCTCACATTTTCTATTGCAATTTTAGGACAAGATTTGAAAATTCTCGTGGTAGACAATGTTAACAATTTCCGAATTTCAACTTCAAATTTCTCAATTAACAATTTCAAATTTTCAACTTTGATGACAAATAAATTTTGATAGTAATTTAAAGAGAATTCGTCTACGATTAATTTATCGGTATGTTTGTAAACTTGGTTAAAAAAATAAGTTTCTTTTAAGCCAATTTCTAGTAGTACCTCAATATGTAAATGAAAGTGAGTGTATTTATCAAACATATAGAGAAATAAAATTTCTTGTATTTCCAGTGAGCAAAACAGAACAGCCCTTTCAAATATGTTATAACTAGGAAAATTTGGAGTTACTGAAGTATCAGCATCATAAACAAGTAACGTTGTGATGAATTCAATTTTGTCTTCATTGTTCACTAAATCTAAACAGTAGTAAAGGGGTGTCACTCCTGACTGATTTCGGTCATTGACATCAACTCCTTTTTCAATTAAAAATTTTGCAACTTTGAAAAAACCTTTTCTAACTACAAAATGTAAACATGATTCATTTTTTTCAATAGTAGGAGGCAATGCAATTTGAGCCCCATTTTTAATTAAACTATTTGCAAAATATTCACTTGAACTGAAGGCTAATGACAAGGCTGTTTCACCATCTTCATTTAAGTGTTCTAAAGGCACAAGCTTGAGGGACAAGATGTAATCAAAAATTTCTCTACTGCAATAAAATAACAAATAATTAAAGAAAAAGAAATAAGTCGAATTACCTACTTTTGTCTAATTATTGCAATTTGTAATAAGTTGTTACCATCCCGGTCTTTGATGGCTTGGAGGAATTCTGGTAATAATTCTAGGTTTTTGAAGAATTCAACATTATTTTGAACAACGGCAGCTATTAGCAAGAGAACCTTAAAAAATAAGTGTCTATCACATTCAAAGTGTTTATTAATTACTACTTACAAAACTGTTTTCCTCGTGTAAATGCTTATTTAAATCAAAGGATTGATAAAATTTTAAAGCTGTGAGAACTGGTGGAGCAGTTTTTGAGGTTAACATTGCAAGAAGTGTGATAAACATCTAGCTAAATATTGTTTTCAAAAAAATATTCAACATATGTAGATAATTGAACAAATAATTCAAAAAATAGAAATACCGCCATTTTTTAGTAAAAGGGCATTCTACATTAAACATAAATACAACCGTGTTTTATTGGTTGCATATTAACACTTTTGTTATTTTATTTTTTACAATTATTGCTTTAATTATTTAAAAGAAACACAAATATTTTATTGAAAATACTTTATTGTAACACTCCTTATACATACAATAATATTAAGTGTGTATTTTTTAAATTTATCAAAAACTGGATAATATTTTCTCAGAAGTAATTATTTTCCTCACTTTGGTGCTTAGAAGACGATTGAGTAAAATTGGCGATACTAAAATTTCCTTCATGTTGTTACGTGTAGGGGACCCTTCACGAGATATTTTCTATAGCTAGCTAGTTGTACTTTTTGACTTTAATAGTGATTCACTTCTGTACTGTATTTTCATAACAATATCTTTTTAATCGTGGATGAGCGAAGTAACATAACAATTCCTCCAAGTTCTCAATTGAGTAATCTTGTGGATTGTCCAGATAAGTGTGTAAATCTAGACAGACATTATAAACTGGCAAAGAATTTTAAAGAAGCCACAATAACCGTGTTTTATTGTAAACAACTTGCAAATCTATTTCGTTCAATCGTAATAATCCGTATGATAACAAATAACATTAGGATTCAATTCTTTTTCAACTAGTGTCGCAATAAAAAATCCTCTTTTTAAAAACAGTGTTTTATTATTACTGTCGTTTATGTACATTACAAAATTTGGCAACTGTACTGAAGTAGGTTTATTAAATGAAACTGACTTTAGACAAAATTTATAAAATTATTGATCTTTTTTAGCATTTTTTTCCAGCTCTTCATCTCCGCTTGTAACAAAATAAACTGTGTAGGCCTTTTTCAAAACCTGATGTATGCCATGGTGCCAATCAATTCTCAAATTCTTCCTAAGATACTCCAAATACTTTTGCACAAAAAACCTATTCAATTCGTGGACATTTGGATGATTTAAATACTCCTCAATATCCATCCACTTGCACTTGGCAATCTCCCTCTCGCATTTCTCGATATTCCAAGTGAGAGGCTTTAGGCTCATAACAGTATAAATATCAGAACATCCAAACATCCCAAAATGCGTATGTCTCAAAGTTAAAACGGAATGAAACTCAGTTTGAACCCCAGTCTCCTCCCACACTTCCCTAATCGCAGCATCAACCAAATTCTCCCCTGGCTCAACGTACCCCCCTGGAAGCTTCCAGTGAGGCACTTCATAATATTTTTCACTAACTACAAGAATTTCAGATTTGTCATTAACCACAACGGCACCCACACCAATCATTGTGTGGGCGTACGGCGGAATATTGCACAGTTCGTTAACAGGGAGCCATAAATACATCATAACGAAATCATCTTTGGCTTGATGGAAGCGAAAACCTTTCTGTAAGAAGTGTTAGCAAAAGGCGGTAAAAATTTAAATTTCAAACCTTTGCTAAAATCGGGACCCAATCCGATTGGTCTAAATAGACCTTAAACCACACCCCTCGGTAACCATTTTCGCGCCACTTTTTAAGCGAATCTGAAAAATTGGTTTAATTTAAATAATCTATGAAGAAATGCAAGATCATCACTGTCTATTTTAGCTGCTAAAGAGGGGAAATCGCAGTTTTCCGTCTCGGAATTAACTGTCACGCCCTTGAAACGGTCCAAAGTGCCCTCAAAAAATTCACTCATTTTAACCGGATTTGTGGCCCTAAAATCACAAATTAATCACCTCAAATCACCCTTTGGGCACTATTAGGTACATGAGCGCTATCACATTACGCGAAAAATACGGTCCTACTTTTTGCTGGTGACATAACCTATAACGATTTAATAATGTAAATAAAAAACGCATTTAAAGTAATTTGGTTCTTTATTACAAATTCTGCAATCACGTTAACGTCACGTCTTATCAATGTGATTTACATTAAATTCTTATCATTTATGAATAGACAAAAAAAATATTTACGCAAATTTAGTGTCAGCTGTCACAATAATACCTAACCTTAATCAGAGCATGATTATATAATTTTTAATTGATAACAAAAATGAATAATGACGATGTAGTGTATTTATGTTTGTTGTTTTTCTCAATAGTTTTTGGTTATTATTACCGAACCATCAAAGACAAGGACTTGAAAAAAAATGTAGGCACAGCTGTTGGCATTTCCTTAACTCTGATTGCCTCTGGAATCCACATTCTCCACTCCTTCGTCACAGTTTTTGTGAACATTTTAATAATCCTGTTTGTGAATAAGAAGTAACAACACAACTACCATGAAAACACAGTCTCATTCAGTTTATTTCAGGCAATGTCATTTGGCCAGTTTTGTCTTCTCTTTCCTTTATTTGCTCTTCTTCCGCTCAACTATCCACTTTGGGATTCCATACCCGCCAGCTCATACAAATTTAGTTCAAATGATGCTCACTTTAAAGTTAGTTGGTTTAGCATTTGAGGTAAACTCCACTCACAACTCCCAGAAAAAGAGAGACACGTCTGAAAAAAATCAAGAGGAGAAAGATGAAGCCAATAGAATTGAGCCGACTTGTGTTGATATTATTCACTATGCGTTTAATTATGTGGGCGTATTGACTGGTAATTTTCAAATATTTGAAAACCAAAAATGCACAGTATTGTAGGCCCTTATTACCGATATCGCACTTTTGTCGATTATTTAAACTTTCCATTTTTCGAATATGCAGACTGGAAGAAAGCAACAATTGACAAACTTAAATATGTTCCTCTTTTTGCTGTATTATTTCTATGGGGCTCTTATAATTGGCCATTATCAGTAGGTCTCACCCCCTCCTATGAGTCTTACCCTTAAAATTTTTTTCTAGTATGCAATGTCTGACGAATTTTATGAGAAATCATGGTTGTATCGCTATTGGTACATTTGGCCCAATTTTTTTATCTTCAGGATGAGAATTTATGTGGGATTAGTACTATCGGAATGCGTTTGTACCATGGCAGGTTTTGGAGCGTATCCCACTTTCACTAACCCCAAACCGGGTCAGGGACCATCAGAGAATTTCCATGAAATGAAAAAACTCTTGTAAACCCACCAATTTTCCCAAATTCGTACTTTCTGAATGACTATTTTTAGATCAAATGAAGATGCATTAAAAAAGACTGAATACGATTTTGAAACTATCCATAATATTAATCCATATGGGGCCGATTTTTGCACCACATACCGGGAAGCGATGAAACATTGGAATATCTGTATCCAGTATTGGTTGGCCGTCAATGTTTACAAAAGGTTCCCAAGCAAAAAATACAGAACTGCTGTTACCATGTTAGTGTCTTCCTTTTGGCATGGGGTCTACTCTGGTTATTACGTGTGTATCGGAACTGCGCCCCTATGTCTTCTGCTTGAGGATGTTTATTACAAATTATATCTCAAGGACAGAAAAGGACCGGTAATTAAAAAGTTAATCACACTTTCGTCAAATTATGAATTGAATTATCTATTACAGTATTTCAAAATATTAGAATGGGTTCATTGGTTTTTCAGGATGCATTTCTTTTCATATCAAGGCATTGCGTTTTTGTTACTTGAAGTTAATCTCATTCTGAAATATTATAATTCGATTTATCACGCCGGATTGGTTTTGTGGGTAATTTTGTATGTTGTGGGGTTCCAACTGTTGAAAAACAAGAGGCGCAAGGAGAAAAAATTAGCCGAGGAAGCAGCAAAAAATGAATAATTTGACAGGGCATAGGCTAGATTTTAAGCAAATGTGTCTTCTCTGTAGTGTAGTACAAAAAGAACCAAAAATATTTTAATAAAGGTGATTTTGAATATAAAAAATTTTAAAAAGTAGATTTTTGTAAAATGAATTTGTACTGTGCAGGACGTAACGTTTGGGGCCATAACATTGTTTATATAATGTGGAAAATAAAAATTTGCATAAAATAAATACTTTGGGTTTAATTTATTTTGTAAATTCTTGATAGCGATTTGTACCGACAAGTTCAAATAGGTACACTTGTTGTTAAATTTTACAACTTTCTTCACTTAACCATCCTGTTTACACAATAATTTAAATGATTATCATAAATTTGTAGTTTGAAAATTATTTTGTTTAAAAAAAAATTCCAGTGATTTATTTATGAGCAGTGCAGCCAATCGAAGAAAGTGACATGCCCGAGACAACTGACATGCGTATTGAGTTTCAAAAATGTAAAATTTATTAAAATTGTGGGACTTGGTCATGTTTCTGTGAATATCTCGCGCTTTTTAGCCCCAAATCACGTCATTTCGGCCATATGACACGGCCCCTATTCCATACAACACTTTTGGGGTGTTTCATATAACCCCTCAAAAAATGAACCATGACTTCCATTCTTGAAGAAAAACTGCGTGAAGCTGCCTGTATTGGCGACATCGAAGCAGTCCTAGCTTTGCTATCCCAGAATCTCGACATAAATTCAAAAAACAGCGTTAATGGATGGTAACATAACCTCACTTTTGGTTTTGGAAAAACAATTTACTTTTTAAGGACGGCCTTGCATTGGGCGGCTAAACGCGGCAATTCGCAAGTGGCCGACATCCTACTCAGCCACGGGGCGAATCCGAAAATCCAGAACCACAAAGGTGAAACCCCTGGTAATCTTTGTTCTAATCCCGAAACCCTTGCTTTGTTAGGGGAAGACCCGAGTCAAGCCCCTCACGACGACCCCAAATTTACCCCAAACTATCTGAAAAACCCCCCTGTTAATGGGCAAGTCGATATCGGGAAGCTGAGAGGCAAGCCGGATTTCTCAACTATGCCGACTACAACGCTCCCAGCTTGTCTCAATGATGGTAATAAGGAAGGTTTTCGCGACTTGGTTGTGACTCCGGGGTTTGTAGATCTCGTTCTAAATGTGCGCATCGCGGGGTCGAGCGATCCTGATTTTATTGAAGTGGAAATTCCGCGTTGGAAGTTGACTTATCTCAACTTGCTCAAGATCTGTTGTGAGGAGTTGGAGGTGTTGGAGTCGCAAGTTGAGAGGATTAGAAAATTGCCCAATACGAGACTAAGGAAGGATAGTGACGTTAAGAGGTTGGATAATTTCCAGAGTCTCGAGTTGGTGCTCAAGACACCCCTTGGCAGTGATAAACCCAACAATTGTTATCAGAGTATATCAACATGCAAGAATCAAACTATTTTGTACTGAGCATAAGGAAACGCATTCTGACATTTGGAACTCCACGATTTATTTATATTTATTATAGAGAGCTGCTAGTTTAAATAAAGTTATTGCTTAGGAAAATATAATTCAAGTACTATAATCCCTGAAATAAAGAGGAATAAATGCTTGAACGGTTCCGACTAGGATCGCCTTAAGAACAGTTCGCCTACCGCATTCTAGATGTCGTCAGTTACGAGCTTACGTCGATAACTTGTTATTCGCGATAAAAGGGGCCACTACGTAATCAGTGTCATGACCGTAGAAGAAAAAGAATAACTGGTTGTGGGATAGGATTGTAGAAAATCGAATCGACCAAATATAATTGTCAACATCGCACGCTACTGCATAGGTAAGTACCCACATGCATCTGTTATCATTGAAATCCACACGTGTCTCTCATTGTACGGCGCAAGACGAGTTTGTTGTGCAAATAAAAGTAACACGTCCATCACTAGACCAACATTGACGCAATTTTAGTAATCTTTCGGACGGAAATTTGGACGTTAGCACCGTCAAAATTATTTTTCTGTTGAGTAATTTGAATATTTCGCCATTCCATGAGGCGCGTAATCGGTTGGCTGGTTTTTGGGGGTATCTTTGTGCTTGTTTTTCTTCGGAAGATAAATCGGGGTTTAGCAACAAGTGGTGTTTGTAATTATTTTCGCCACAGTCGCCCCGATTTGGAATTTATCGAACGCGTAATGATTCATCGGTATTTTTGCCCCCATATTTTAAATCGCTGCCTAGCAGACGTGTTTATTATGAATAATTTATTTCGTAAGAACGACACTCCGAGAAAGGGGATTCCTTTCTCCTGACTTATTTACCTTCCACCGAGAAAATACAATCGTTTTTAATGGTTAACATGTAACGCGATTCGGGATTCTCCCCATTTTCAACTTTGATATTTTAAAACGATTCTCGGGATCGCAGCGCAGCTTGCCATGACGTCAGTCAACGGCTTGCCAAGGCTGCGCTAGTTACACAATCACACTGTAAATGTGTAATGTGAACACGCTGTAAATATCTTAGCGGTTCACTTTTTAACTAGTTTTTTTATTTATTTTTTTAAAGGAACGTGACAACGTGTCACCTGTCAATTTAAACTGCCAGTTGCCAACTTGATTATGTTATTTCAATACGACTGATGTGACGTCAGCACTCTTGATCAGATTAAAATAAATTAACAATATGTCTCTGTTAATCTTGTTGAAATTAACGCATTTTTGTTGTCATAAATATAACTACAAAAATTATAAATCAGATTAACAAAATTTGTTGTCCTGTTTACGTTGAGTCTGTAATTCTGTACGCTAATTGATTAAATTTAAATTATCTTTTTAATTACCACACACAGACTACAGGCTGACCCAAAATAGATTGTTGGCACATTTTAGTTATTTTTCATTGGTACCAATTTTTTTCAATTTGATTAATTATTTATTTTGATATTTAGACTTTATGATAACGTAAAATAAAATACAACAGAAAATTCCAATATAGCGAAAATAAACAAGATCACAATTGAAATTTCTACCTTAAAATTTAATTCTTTTAGTTGCTGAATTGTGAAATAAGTGGTACATACACCATTTTTTATACATATGTAGTTGATTTTCGATAAAGAAAAGCATGAAAGATTTCTTCTTGGTTCCACTCTGTATATTTAACATTTGCAAGTCACAGGGGTGTCCTGTTAGTCAGTGCGTCCCAGCTGTCGGCTTAAAATTGGTTTGACATTTAAGATTAATGATTACGTCAAAATTGTCATTCAAAGGCACGAGTTTGAAGCTTCTTGATGACATAACTTTTTCCTTATGTGTGTAAAAATAGCTTTGACAAAGGGCTCCGACCCATATTCCGGGTTTTCCATTGTCCCATCACGTTCAGTATGTCCATCGCGTAAATCTATGGGTAAATCTTCTGAATTTAAATACAATATACCCAGCTCGGACGTGCTCACCGACGCAAAATTCACGTGAAAAGTTAATACTCAGAAACCGTGATGAAAATCTCTGCGGCTTCCGCACTAAACTTTTGACAACGACGTTATTTTTATCAGCCAAGCCCGAGAGCCAAGCTCCTCAAAACAGGATCCAACGTTATTACGGTTTTGTCCGGAGTTTTCAGTAATGTTTGTTCCACATTTTTAATTAAATAAAATATTTTTGGTTTAAATTTTAATCACTAAAGTAGTAAAGTAACCCTCAAAAAAAACGAAATTGTTTTATTATTCTTAAATTACGAAATAATGTTTTAGATACCTATTGACATATTTTGTTTAAAATTTGTTAGAAAAGAGTTTAGTTCGAAATTTCGTTTTGATACGTCAGTTTTCAACGAATAAATTACTGATTATGAATGTTTTTTTCAGGGACCAAAAAATTGCCTAGGTAAATAATAGTTATTTTTGTCCCCAAGTCCCCAAAATACAGTTTTTGCGAACGAATCGTTACTGTTTCCGGACGAGGCGAAGCCGAGTCTGGAATAGAAGATGAATCCGCAAAAACATTTTAGGTACGTGTTACAATCAAGATTTTTTGTTAAAGCTCCCAAAAACACATTCTCAGCTCGTATTATTTATAATTAATGTCTTCAGAGCAAAAATTTCTCGAAAATAGTTAGCTTCCTATTTTGATTGTTTTAATAGTAATAAAAACTGTATTTTGTAACTATAATGCGTACCTTTTAATGAGTCCAAAAAAGACTCATTTTGGGGTCTCAAATGGGTCCGCAAAATAACTATTTTTGAAAAAAATAACTAATATTTCCACTCAAAACCAAAATTTGAGAAAAATACGTAATAGGTCTCAATGAGTTTTGATTCGTCCTAGTTAAATACTACCTGAATTTAAAAACCATAATTCTAATCACAATTTCAATAGATCGGAGCGCAATAAAAGCTTGTTTTTTTTTCGCCGGCTCTACAACAACAAAATAGCAAATTATAGATCATTTAAACACATGTGAATACTCGTTACTCGTATCTTTAATAATATAATAATACCCAGGACCGTGGGTGGGGTTTTTAATAGATACTTATAACGGTATTTTTTATATTTTGGAAAGATTAATTAATTGATACGGTCAAACTCAAGAGATAAAATAATATTTTTTGTTTAATAAATGCTTATTCTCGTGTGATACTCAATTTAATTCAAAGAAAAACAAACGCAAGTTCTGGAGATTTGAATGATCATAAAAACTAATAAAAAGCATTCCCGTTTTAATATTTTATCAACATAAAATATTGGGTTTTGATTTTTACATTATGTACTTGATATCTAGAGCCCGAAAATACAAAAAAAAATATTTTGTAGTACTGTATGCCCCGGGTTATAACTGATTTTGTCAATGTTCTTGTTTGTTTTTCCTTCTTGAAAATCGCTATTATGTATAAAAAGGCTTATATCCTGGCATGTGGAGTTGGGTGTTAGGCATTCGTTGTAACAGGTAGTCCGACACGGAGTATAATTTCGTTGATTACTCCATGGTGTATGCATGTAACCGGGTAAAAAGCGGCGGCAGCGGAGAAACGAGCGCTTGTCGTGCTGTAAATACGATATCACAGGAAACAAACAAGCGCTGTTGCCAGATTGGGAATTATTTAGCAGGTCTCAGGGCACCGTTAGCTGAAAACGAGAGGTTGGAAGATGCGTTTCGGCATCGTTTCTCATTGCTCAGCGTTGGGTATTAACCGTTCGTTTTAAAAGCAGGCATCGGTAGCTTCGTGGAAGGACGAGGGTTAGGTTTGGCAGCGTCCGACGGCGGTTAACGTTAACTGTCAATTGGCTCAGGGCCGTGCCTGTTGTGCAGGTGGTTGATGTGGCTGTGGGTCTAGCGACTGGGAGGCTTCCATGGTTTGGGTTTGGATTTCCACCCAAAAAGAGAATTGGGATTTCCACTGACTGATAAACAATTTTTTAACTGAAAATTTTCTAATATAAAAGCAAAGCAGCAAATACTAGGACTTAATAATTAACGTAGACAAACTTTCTCGATTATAATAAATAAAGGAAAAACGAATTAATTATAGACGAACTCTCCCCAGCCTGCCCTTTTTGAGTTATTAGCAAGAGGCCAGATGCGGGGCTGTTGATACTCTGCCATCATAAAAAGAAAACATCCGAGCGGTGGGGCGCTGCTGACGCAGGGGTCGAAAGGGAGTTTTACCGTGAGGGGATCATCTTTCAGGATGGTGGATTGGTGGAAAAAATATTAGTCTTAGGGCGGAATGGGCCCCTTTATACAACCACACCACAGATTAGCTAGTATTTTTTGTAATTTATTATTGAATTATCTATTCTTCTCTGCTTAATTTTAAATCGCCAATTAACGAAACAATGGTTAAAACAAAATCAAAATGCCTCACCGTCCCCGAAGTAAATTATGTAATTGTTATTATCTTCATTTAATATGAAAAATGTGAATCAGAATTTATGTACTTACTTAATAATAGTAATTATAAATTCATTAAAGCATTTTTGCTATCACTAGCCCTTATTACTTTTTGGGAAAGTAACAATAACATAAATACGGAAGTACTTATTCATATACAGTACAGATTAGAATTTTAGTAATATACCATCTTCAACGTGTTTTGAATTTTCATTAATGTAACAATAGGAGGGATGTATGACAGATGCCTGCTCTTGTCGCTACAACCGCACACCCATATTATGACATACAGAGTGGATCTAAAATATCTCTACATCCTTTATTTTACACATGACAAAAAAATTGCAAACAATGTTCTACAGGGTATTGCATTTTGGATGTCCGAATAGGGAATCTCCGAAATTTAGAGGTTTACCCATAAACGAGTGATACCTACATTCTGGGGCTCATTTTTTGAGAAAATAATATTGGTTAAAACCGCATCCCGCTATCGTCTTTTGTTTTCGACTTATAGACAAAAGTTGACATTTTAGCAAAATCTAAAAAAAATATACGTTTCACGGGCGAGGTAGTATCTTCGTTATTATAGAAGATACGGATTTGAAATATAAAACATTTGTTTAGACAGTAAGATGAACTTTTTAATTTTTTTTTTAAATGGAAGTCTTAGGTGGCTATGTCAATTTTGAGAAGCCTATTTTTTTCTGATCTATAAAATATATATTTGTAACAGAATATTTTTTACAATTATACTTAAAAAATGAAATACTTATTTTGTTTGATAGTGGGCCATGGAAAAACTATTTCACTTAAAATGTGTAAGTAGGTATTGATTATAACTGTAAAATAGATGAAAAAATAGATAAAATTATAAAGATTTAAAAAATACGATACGGTAGAAGCATTGAACAAATATCCGAGCGCCTCAGAACTAAATTATTACATATTTAAAAAAAAAAACAGAAATAGGAAAAATAAATGTGTCAACAGTCAATACAAATAGAAAAAACATTTTTGATGGTGTAATGGAGGTAGAATAACGTTCCACATAGACGGTATTTGAATAGCCAAATTGTAATTTTTGTGTCCAATAAATAATAAATATTTATTACCGTAAGTCTAAATAAATACGTGACCAAGGGTGTTGTGTTTTAATCAAATCACACATTAGGTAGGTAGAACATTGTAATTATGCTCCCCATGATGATCTTTCGTTTATTGGTTGTTCTAGAAAAAAATGTTTTAATCAATATTTAACCCACGACACGTGTTCAAAAAATGGTAAATTTCACAGATGCCTGTCATTTTCATAACACTTTTGTTTAGGCTCACGATATAAGTATTCTTGTTCTAAGAGGTTCAAAAAGCATTAGCATTGCTCAGTGTTAAAAATTTACACAAATGTTTACTTAACTGGTGAATGCTTTTTGAAATTGCACATTTTGTGCTAAACAGATAAACAAATTGCAATTGTGGATTCATATTGCCACGTGACAGTCTTATAACGATTTCCTGAAAAATAAACATTCAGTCATCCCCACGATTCAAGTCATTTTAACAATGTAACAATGCTATTGTTCTTTGTTCAATGAAAATATTTAAAATAGCTTTAAATACAACATTAAGGCGTTCCAAACCAAGTTAACACGTTCCGAGCTTCAAAATCAACTTTTCTAACTCTATTATAAAGTTTATTTATCGGGAAAACTGTCGAGTTAATTAGATATCAGTTTTATTAACCCCGTGTGCGAAAATAAAACGAAACTCATTGCTGCATTCAACAACACCCTGTAGATTTAAATGTTTAATGCAGACATGTCTGCTCTAGGTGTTTAACATTGAAAACATTTCGGAACGATAATAGTTTGCGTCGTCTTGTTTTAGGGTAATTAATCGTGAATTTGAACTGATATTTCCGAAATTGTAAAGAAAGTCCGAAGAAATCGTGTCGGGAACGCCGAAAATGGGCGTTGCGGTTGCTACGTTGGCGCTGGCACGTATCGAGGCCGCGACCAGCAGCTCGCTCTGAATCAGGCTTAATGATCGTGATTTCAGGACGAGTCATCAGTCCTTGATCGTCGGTATCCTTCGCCGATCTGACTGAAGGCAAAAGCTGTGCTTTTCTGATTTCAGTTGTCGTCTGAAGAAATCCGATAAGAGAGCAATCGGTGCACGAACCGGCAACGTTGCGCGGGAATGTCAGACGTTGTCAGGCCGGGCTAGGGGAAACATCGGGCGATCGAGGCCACGCCAGTGCCGCCACCGCCGGCAATCTCTCACACTACAGTACAGTACGCCAGTTCGTGAACAGCTATGGCCTCCGCGAAAGACACGGCGACGTTCTTCACGCACGGTACTCACACGCAGTTCGAACAGGTCCTCAAACTCTACCCCACGGCCCTCAAACTCAAAGCGGAACGCAGGGCCAAGAAGCCGGAGGAGCTCCTCAAATTGGACAATTGGTAAGTGACGGTGCCAGTGTATGCGACCGTGTGTCATTGAACTCGGCTAATGCACTGAATGGCTCTCACCCCCGCGATATCTTCTCGGACGGTCATTAAAATCACGCTCGTCACGTGGTTATCGGTGACAACTGCACGGTGCCCGTCCGAATCTTATGCATTTTGAGGTCGGAACGCGGCTTTAAATGTCGGCGTCATGGCTACGCCGATTTACACGCTTTGAGGCCTTTAGACTCATGCTAAATCCTGAAACAAACACAAATTGAGTGTTGGCTTTTCGAAGAAGACCTCCATGTAGTCCTCGAGGGCCGCTTTCGGCCACAAAGCCCCGAAACATGCCATTGCGAGTCCTGCTTTCAAAATGGTGTCTGTTCAAACAAAGCGATCGACGTGGGCTTTACAAAAGCCAGATTTTCACTCGAAACGGCCCAAAATTCTGCACTTTTTCCAAAATCATGCCTTCAACAACCCTCTACGGTCACACTCGACTTAACTGTTTGTTTATCGCGCCGTTTAAATTGATTGATGTTGCCCAACTTGTGCATTTTTCATGTAGTGGGGGGATTAAGAGCTTTGTCATTGTTTTTCAGATTCGGTTTTTGGGAAACGAGTTTTGTTCGTGGAAGGTTTCAGGCGTTGATGGCCTTGTTTCAGGATTCTCGTGGCGTAGTTTCAGTTTAATGAATTAAAATGATTGATTTTAAATTACTTATGACACTTCGCCATGATGGAAAGTTACCAGATGGATTTCGTAGTTTTTGAAGGGATTTTCACGGAAAATCATTTAGTTTCGAAACGATTTCGACTTTTGACGATGTTGAGATTGTCGAAGGGTTGTTTCAAGTCAGTTTCTTAAATAACTTCCAAGGTTTAACGGAAAATTTTATTGTTTTACGAGCATGGCGGTCGGTGCTGCTGCGAATACCGTTACGGGTTGCAACTTTCCCTAAAACAAAATAAAATTTGACTGTTTTTTCACAGTTATTGCTCATTTTATACACATGAAAATTATTTCGAGGGTGTGAGAGCCATTTCTACCAACAATATTTGCAAAAAAAACCTAATATACCCACCTAGTTTTTGTTCAAAAGTTTCAAACTGAAAATTTAATTGGATGAGGCATTATTTATTATCCTTCTGGCTTATTTTTGTTTTTTGTCTATAATTTATAACATAGTTATGAAGGTATTGACATTTTTATACAGTTAATTAGACTTTATCAAATTACAGCTTTTCGCTTTAATAATTTTCGTTGAAATATTTGTGGAAAAACTTTGGTATTTATTCAATGTTTTTTGGGATTCTAGCACCCGTATGTTTTTATACGATTAGTAATCCACCCCTATTGTTTCAGAAAACTAAAACAATACTTTTCGTTTTGAAAGTTTGATTTTATTGGTTATGAAAGAAACTGAAATGTCATTTAAGTCTAGACGAGGAAATGGTTATTTTGCTCAACAAGTGAAGAAAGTGATATTCTTATTGTATCACTTTTTTTACTTTCGCTCACTTGAGATTAATTAAGTCTCGTTCGCAAAAATGCGTACTTTCATCAGTTCACCACCGAAACGATAACCGCTTAATTGAATAAATTGTTCCATGTGCTTTTATCTTATTTGTTATCACACCATTGTGATATCTCTCTAATCCATCATTTAAATCATCCTTTCTCGTCGCGAAATATGATTTTGTTGCTGAAAATATCCCCACCATTCAGGAGACCGCACAAACTTCCTGAAAGCCATTATTCAGCGGTTTGAATCTGAAACACTACACCGGTTTCCAACTGGTGCATGATTTTTACACGAAACCGTCCTAATTTTTGACCGGTAGTTACAAAGACTTTTATTATTTGACCTTTGTTTATGTTTTTACAAAATTGCTTATGTATTTACATAGTCTCGCTTCGACGAAAATATTTTCGTCAAGCATTGTGAAACTTGTTCGTAGTTGCAAATAACATTTCAAGTTGTAACTTTCACTGGAAAATAACGTTGAGGGTTGTTAGAAGTTCTCTGGACTGAAAATATTCCGAGTTGAAGATGTTTTTGTCAAATAAAATGATAAAGATTTTTAGGAAAAGTAAACTTGGGTTTTTTGGAGAGGTATTTTTAAATGAAAATATCAAGGGTTTGTAAATTACTTACACTAAAGCTGCTGGCAATTGACCTTAGATAATCCTCAGGTACTCCACCTTTTGTCATTTCTACCTTCGGGTAATATGTCTTATATTCCTTCTTGACATTGAAATTTTGGGGAGAATTTTAGGGTTTAAATATAAAGTCGCTTAGTTAAACGTGGCAAGGCAACGTCTAAATTAAAATGATTGATTTTAAATTACTCAGAATAGCGCGTCTCATCGTGGAAAGTTGCTACGTTAATTCGTATATTCCGAGGATGAGCAGCAGAAATGTTTTGTGCTTTGTTTGCAGAATGCTGAAAATTTTCAACGGAAACTTGTATAGTTTACAGTCTTAGAAAAAATAATTATTTTAATTAATTATTGAATAATTCATTCATTAGTGGTTCAGGATTTCCTTTAAAAGTAATTTTAGTCACATAAGTTGTATCATAAATTTTGTCTATAGCAAGCCAAGGTCCGGTATTTTAACGCAAAGTTGACTTTTTTTTTCATTTTCCGCTTTGTTAACTAATGTACATATTTTACTTACGCGTGTGAATTGAGTATAAACATTTTTTGTAATGGATTTGGCAAGTTTTTATTTTTCTCAATTGTACCACCGCTTTGATGAATGGTTCTGGATTTGTTTTCTAAAGTATGAAGAGTAAAATAATTGCATGATGTAATAAGAATAACTGCTGTTGCCATTGTAAATATTTAATTTGTTGCCAGTATGAGTTCACACGTGATACAAAACAAATGTAATGCCAATGTAGGCCTATTTCGAGTTATTGCAAAGAAGAAAACAAAAGACAGTTTTTTGAAACTGAGAATAAGAATTAAACGTTTTTTGTACACAACTGTAAAAATGAATAAATTGAACAGAAATAAAGTTCAAGCATGTTAAAGAAAACCAATTATTGTGACATGGAATTCTATTAGTCTTACCTTGGCCAACTGTAATGAAAAGAAAAATGTGTACTGCGATTATGTATTGGACAAAAATACCTTTTTAAATGTTGGTTTTCTGTATTTCTGTCTTTTGTATCTTCATTTATTAAAATAAATAAAGTTCAAAGAGCTTGGTTTAATTTAAATTTACGGATTATTCCCTGAAACGGTGAAAGTGTGTTGTCCTTGTTCAAGTTGCGGTTGAGAGTTGTTATTAAAGCAACCTTTTGAGAAAATTTACAGTTTTCCCAATTGTGTATTTGTTGATTGTAGGTATCAAAATGAACTCCCCAAAAAGATAAAAAGCAGAGGCAAAGATGCCCACATACTTCACGAAGAGCTCGTCCAGTTGATGAAATGGAAACAATGTCGTGGCAAATACTACCCTCAAATCTCCTACTTAGTAAAAGTAAACACACCAAGAGCCGTCATGGCAGAGACCAAAAAAGCATTCAGGAAACTTCCAAATCTCGAACAAGCCATCACCGCCTTATCAAATTTAAAAGGTGTAGGCACAACGATGGCTTCAGGTAAACCCATAAACCAAACTCCATTTTGCAAATGTGAAATTTGTAATTTTTTAGCATTGTTAGCGGCAGCGTGTCCAGAAAGCGCCCCTTTCATGGCAGATGAGTGTCTATTGGCGATCCCGGATTTCGAAGGCATCGACTATACCACGAAGGAGTACCTGAAGTTCGTCAGTCACATCAACGCGGTGGCAGATAGACTGAATAAGGCCGCGAAGGAAAATAATAGGCCGGACGCTGTCGTTTGGTCGCCTCATAAAGTCGAATTGGCGCTATGGACACATTATGTTGTTTCAGACATTCAGCCGGAGTTGCTCTCTAGTGAGTTGAATTTTTTTTAGACGTATGACTAACAAAAACAAAGAGTAATTACACTGAAGAGACAAAGCTGTTTTTTCTGTATTTACACTGCAATTTGTGGTAAATTGAATCATTCATTTTGAATTAAATTGAGTTGAAACAAAGTTTCTAGTCCAAATTGAAGCAAAAACAAGATTTTTAATTATTATTATAGGGATGTTGATTTTTAATGTTGACCGTAATTGTATTCCAAAGTAGAATTCGGGAAAAAATTGTCGTAATTGATTTCCGTTTAAAAACAAACTGATTTTCTTATGGTTTTCTATGGTTTACTTTAAAAAATGTCATAGAAAAACTAGTGGCGTGAAATTAATCTCCACTAAAGTTTATTACATTTTTACAGTTTTAATGATGCACGCATAGTAAGATTATTTAAATATTTGTTGATAAGATAGCATAAAGCTGGGAATTTTTCTTTTACGTTAATGAATTGTTCACACGGCTCTGAAATTTTCGGTTTTTCTTCTCTTTAGCCTTTTTTTAATTAAATTGAAAGTAAAAAATGAGAAAATAGTGCATTGTCATCAAAATAATTGGCATTACTTGAAATTAAAATTGGGTCACAGCTGTGTTTTATCTTTTTGAAAAAAAAAATGCGGAAATTAGTGTTGCTTGCCATCTGTTACTTACTTTTGTAGGGTTGGTATGACTAATTCTGCGAAATTCAGCCCGATTTTCTTCAACAACATATTTTTCACATTGTAAGACGTAAAAATTAATCACGATTTACAACGGGAAGTTATAAATATTGACTATACTTTTATATCACAAATAAAATAGGCTTTAATTTACTCATTTTATGTAAACGATCGTAACGCATGATTGAATTTTGTTATAAACAAAGTAATTGTTACACTTTAATATGACAGTTGACGCTCGAATAGAGGCGGAAGCGCAGTCTGTTGGGTTTAGTATCGAAATAAAGATGTTGGTTTTCTCTGAAACCAAATTAATGTAAAAACAAAATAAATGATAAACGCACATGAACCAACTGTTGTAAAATAATCAAAAAACGTTTAGCTCCTCATACCCGTTATTATCCAGCGCTGACGTAACAAACAAATGATTTAACATCAGGTCCAGTTATTAACATGTCCTTTTTTTATACATAAGTCACAAATTAAAATTATATGTAATGACGAAAATTAAGCAGACCATACAGGTTGGTAACATGACTTTTGTTTGGATTGGCAGAATTAATCGCGATTTAAAATTTCGAGTAAATGTACAAAAAAATATAAATTCGTAATAAAATTAATTATAAAATATTACATTAAAGATATTTTCTACAAGAGAAAAAGAATAACATAGCTAGTTGCGCAAGTTGTGTTTTTTTCATTTTCTGTAGCTATAATTTTAGAAAATGGCAATTCGATCCCACCGGCGATCGTGCATCAAAACGGCGACTCCCTCGACACCACCACTTCTGAAGAGAGTAACCAAGGATTGGCGAACGGTAAATCAGCAACGCTGATCGACGAGGATACTAACACCTCGTTCGCGGACAACAGCAGCCCCGACTCCATAGAAGCCGAAGAGACGAACGATTCGGTGGTCTCGGATTCGACAAATGACTCGATGGCTCCCGAAATCAAACGAGCCCTTGAAGAGGACGATTCCAACTCATTGGAGGCCCCCAATAAAAAACTCAGGGAGGACGTCCGAGATAAGTGACAAATACGGGCGTATCATTAAGTTTATTTTTTTTTTAACTAAATTAAAAGATGTAATCGTGTAAGGTTTAGATTAACTGTACACACAACTGTTTTTTTGTCGTGGTCAAGTGGGGGTTTTTGAGTGTAGCTCTGTGTGTTACTTCTCCTCTCATTATCCTCCCAAGTGGCACTCAAAAAGAACCCATTTCATATATTTGCCCCGTAACAAAAATATTTCACAGAGATAGAAATAGTTGCGTGTGATTCGTGCAAGAATTCTTTAGGATTTTTGGTGGCGCTTTGTTGTTTCAAGGTAAATAAAAAAAGAGGAGGTAGATTTCAGTTTTATTTTGATATGCCCCTTTTTTGGATTTACCAAACAACGAGGTTACCACTGAGTAAAATTTTCACCGAAATATCGACATATTTCATTGTAATATTTGTTTTTCTGTATAATTGTTCCGTTGTTTTTTATATGTACATGTAAGTAGTCACCTTATTTTGATACCGTTCTTAATCAACTTTCTTATTATTATACATGTAAGAATAGACTAAGTAATTTATTTTTCATTGTTTTTTCGTTTTAAATTTAGGCATTCATTTTATTAGCGTAATTAACGAACATTCCAATTTTTTCATTTAATTTTTATATTATTACCTACGACGAAGGTTATATGAACTTTTACATTTGAAGATGTGTTGTTACGCAGTGTAAATATGACATTTCTTTAGTTTCCTTCCGTTCAGTGATTGCAGACAGGAGCAGACTTCAAATGTGAATTTTCTCATCGGTGTTATAAAATCGTATTTAACGGGAGTACAAACCAAACAATTCGGAAGAGAAAATCAGAGAATCAAGTCAAACGATTTTGTAATTTCGAGTTATAGATGCTCCATTTTAATATAAAATATTTATATTATATATAGATACAACAAATAACTGAATGCCTTTTATGAATAATACTGTAGAATGTATACATAACACTTTTACAAAAAACAAATAGTTAGTGAATTTATTTAAAATTATATATATAGTAATGTGTTATTATATTTTTTAATATGGATTATGAATGTCTTTAATCGACTTTTTTCATGTTTTTTATTCGCTCCTATTCACGCTGCTTCTTGTAATCATAGCAAACAGGAGATATTCATAATCTGAACGATGTAACTGTATAAATATCAGTTGTAGAAAATGAGTTTGAGGTTTTTTGTAGGATATTTTCATAAATATAAATCTTTCACGGCATTATTTTTTTTCCAAAAACTTTATTCAACTTCCATACTTTCCCCTCTAGATCCCGAATCGGCGTACTTGTTATTGGCGTAGAGCTTTGCAACAGCACCACCTGTTATCCTCCCACAGAACTCCGGTCTTGACTTCACCTTCTCTTGCGATGTGAAGATATCAAGGAGGGTCCGAGGAGCAGAGTAAATACCTCCAGACCTGCTACTTGCAGATTTAGCTAAAGGAGGATTAATACTGGTGAGTGGTGGGGGCGACATTGGCGAATCCGTGGTGGCGCGGATGACTGAGGCTCGGGGGACGTCAGAGTCGGATTTCGACGGACCTTGAAGTAGTATTTACTTTTCAGAGAGATAAATTTTAATTATACCTATACGATCCAATTCGCGTAAAGCTTCATCTAATTCGACTTTATCTGACAATTTCTCCTCTTCAAAATTAAATTTGTGACACTCTAAAAGACAGTTATAAATGCTCATGTGGTCTGCTGTGTGTAGATTTTTCTTAAGGAGCGTCTCTAGTTCGTTCCACATGGCTTTGTACTGGTCTTCCCTTTTTTGACCTTTCACCCTTTGACCTGCGTTTAAAGAGTATAATGACTCGTTTTTCTTCTCCAGGGACATCAAATTAATTATAATGCGTCTGCATTGGATCACTTCGTCTTCTGTGATTTTTTCTTTCGTTATAATAGATGGAAGAGGATCAATGTACTAAAAAAAATATTTCACAAGTTGGTCTTCAAAAATAGTAACCTACCCCTTTCAAGTTAAAAATCAAAGTTGAACTAATCGTTAACGGCCAGTACTTCGCATGTCTATTTAGCCTCGTTTTCATCTTCTGAATCGGTCTATTCCCCTCATCCACGAAGCCGGCCTTAATCGGCACCAAAGTATTCTGTTTTATCAACAATCCAAAATCTGTGATCCTATAATCGGTCACTCTCCCCCCGCACCCTTCCGAAATACTTGGGGGATCTTCCAAAACCGACCTCGCCGTACACAAAGTGTGGATAAAAATTTCTCCCCCATGGGAGGCCAACAAATGACTCGTGATTTTCCCTCCCGCTTTCCTCGGCATTTCCAACATGACTGATCTCCCGTTTAGGAGAAAATTAATAAGACACAGGGATGGCCTGGAATTGACATCAACTGGAGTAATCCGGAACATTCCAGTACAATTTTGAAGCTCGGATCCAGAACAACCGCGTGGTGTACACCACTTCAGAGTGACAGTTTCATATTCCAAGCCGTCTTTGATGGTACGAATCGCGGCTGAATCGAGGGCATTGCCTTTGAGGATGGCGGTATGGGCGCAACTTGAGTGGTAAATTTCCACATCATAGTTAGCTGAGGAACTCGCATTTTGCTCCTCTTTCATGGGAATTCCTGTAACTGTGGTGCTGGCAAGGTTATAGTGTTCCAATATGAGAGTGGACAGTTTGTTTGAGATCAAGGGGGCTTTGATTGAGTGAACTTCAGTTGTCAGGATTGTTGACAACTAAAATACAGTAGGCATTGTCGCCAACTTAAGTCATCAAATTCCATACTCACATTTTTGGGGGGGTGGTTATTGACTTGCGATTCAATATTGACAGGAAAAGTGTTAATAATAACAAGGTGGCAATGATCAATTGTCAACAATCTGGAAAACGGTTGAAACTAGGAAGAAAAATAGAATAAGAGAACAAAAACCTATCAGATCCCGCGGCAACTTTGTTTTGTTGTTGCAAAACACTTAAAAATATTTCTTCTAGTCGTTTCATACTGTCATTATCACGTGCCGAGGTGATACAAATCACTCTACATCGATTTATTAATTTTGTTTGCACGTCACCAAAAGTTTGGTTTTGATTTTTCTTGACTTGGATGTCCGTATAATCACTCAAAGCCTCAATTGCGGCCCTCAAACCGTGCAAAACTGTATACTCCAAGTTTCGGTTAACTGCATGAGGGGGCGGAACCCCAATTAGTGACATTGCATTCATTACCTACAATTTTCCAAATCGTTAATAGTCGAAAAAACCACAATAAACCATACATGACTCAAATTCTGCTGCGAGGGACTCCATGTATTTAAAATATGAGCAACAGTGTCACTGGCAATAAATCTAACCTAAAAATTTATTGTTGATTTGCAAGTGATAAAAATTCGTCAAAATGTACCAATTTTCCTTGAGGAAAAAGATCCCAAACTATTCTGCAATATTCAATGGCCGATTCCACACTTGAGGTCCACAGAGACTTGCAAATGGGGGTCATGGGGATAAAACCGGGAGTTCTGGCTTTCAAAAATTCGAGTTCTATGGGACTCTCGCATGATATACCAAAATAGGGAGTGTGGTCTAGTACAAAAACCGTCTTGTGATTCGACGGAAATAACTTATTTGTTATTGAAAACGACATTTTACTTATACACTACATTGAAGTTTTTTGTGAATTGTTTTGATATCTGTCAAAAAATGGGCGCGAATTTTGAATATTTAAAAATGTTGTTGAAAGTTGTACTCTCACAAAATTAATTAATTCATTAGACTTTTTTCTCCTCATGTAAGCATTAAATTATAGACCGGTATTTATACTTCTACTATAGGGTAAATTGGTTGCATCAAAGTTAAATGAAATTAAAACTAGTTTTAGAAATGGAAAAGTGTGTGACCCACTGATGTGCATATGACCCAGAAACATAAAAGAAGTGGTAGCAAGGCCAAATTCTTCAGCTTTTCTAGATTCAAGTCTACTGTTTGTAAATACGCATCATTTTATGAAATAAAATAGAAATTACAAGTAAATAAATTGCGGTAGGTACAACGAAGAGTGTACATATACATCTGGTATGGCTCGATTTGCATATTATTTGCATTTCATTAAGTCAATTATCTTTATTAATGAAATCTTACGAAAAAGCCTGACGAACAAGATAAGAAAGTTGCGAAAATGATTCATAATGATGTGTTGAGAATGGGGGCAATAAGTGCCATAAAAAGTTTTTTTTTACAAATAATTTCAACTAATTAAAAAATGCAAATGACGCTAAATTTGTGAAATGCGGGAAATAAATAATTAATCATACATCACCAATTGTTGCTGTTTTTATTTTAGTCGCGTTATTTTTTTAAGGTTAGTGGAACTAGAAAGACACGCAACTTTGAATATTTAAGTCTGTTGTTTCAAACACTGAACAAACAAATTTTTGTTTTTAAAACACTTTTTCTGTGAGCTAATTAGCCAAAATAGTTATATTTTTTTTTATAAAATATTAGCCAGGTGTTAACGATTATTTGTTTTTTGATTTAATTACAATTTTGATATTCATTTTACAATGAAGTGCTAAAAACTTTCCCTTTTTAAAAATTAGTAAGCTCTAGTTTTGTGCATTTTACTTCTGTATACAAATATAGGAATTTTGTAAACGAGGAGACGAAGAGCTAGCAAGTCCATAAATAGTTAAGATTTGTAAATAAACAATATTGGCATGGTTAAAATTCCTGATATATGTAATTATAATTCCTTAATATGTGTTGCTTTAACCATTTTAACGGCATTTCCTGATAAGAAGCACACCTTAAAAATGAATATAGTCATAGCCAAGTTTCTTAATGGTCGTCCCAATTAAAAACTTAACTAAATGTCAGGTTAAAAAAATGTTTAGTGATAAAGCAAAGCAAATTGTAATTTTCCCATAATATGTACAGATTAATAAATTGTTTGTTTTGTTTTTTAAGGATTTTCCGAATGTTCTTTGAAAACATACAAAAAATGTTACTAGGTATACTATAAATGAGATACCAAGAACATGGAAAAATATTTAAAAAAGTCTATCTATTTATTTTTAGACATTTGATATTTTTATGTCTATTTAGTGTTACTGATGATCTTGTATACAGAGTGAATATTAAGTATGGAACCAAGCGTTTTTTTTAAATCATTTGCCTCCAGAAAATAATAATTAATATAAATTAAAGTAATATAAAAAATGTGATCGTATTTTGAGAACGAAATTTTGTTTTGTTTTTGTGTTAAAATATGCGTTTTTTTTGTCAAAATTGCAATTTATGTAAAAAAATTGTTAAAAAATAATTAAATACAAAGTAGATAGTTGTACTAGTTTTATAGTGGGTTGGAATTTAAAAAAATTAAGAATTTTGTAGAACTCAAAAACAAAAGAAAATTTCGAAAAATTTTATTCTTGATAAAACATCACATTTTTGTAGTAGTTTAATAAAGAGATAAATAGATCTATTTTTTTGACTTCAGTCAAAGTGCAAAATTTAAACTCCCATAATTTTGAAATTTTTATAGATAGAATTTTATTAATTTTTTTCCATGTTCCAGGTATCTTACCTTACATGGGGCGCGAGTTCTGAAACAGCCCTGTAGAGAAAAGAAACAATAATTGAACGTAAGGATTTCGATTTCGCGTATTTTAAGTTGGTATCAATAAACCTCGCGAATGTTATTAACACTGATGACCCTAAAATACCACTCCTTGGTATTGATTTTGGAAAAGTTCGATATTAAAATAAATAAATTATAGCTAAAAAAATTCACACTTCTACTTTTTTAGTAGTGTTTTAAATATGTACAAATAAGGTACCTGCTTACATTTATTACTTACACTTCTTGAAGCTTGGTTTTCAAAGAAGAAAAGTTCCCTCCGCCTCCAATATCAATAAACCACACTTCTCAAATAATAAATATTTCGCCAAAAATAATTAATTATATTTTCCCGATTAAAAGTTCCAACGAAAAATACATTTTTTATGGACTTAGCTGTGAAAATAGAGAGAAAGCAATGATAAACGACGAAAGAGAAAATGTGGAGAATCTGATGGTAAATTCTAGCATAATTGTAATGTGTTGACTACCCGTGGAACACTTAATAAATTCTGACAAAAATTATTGATAATATGATATGCAAAGCAAAGTTGATTAGGTCAGAGACACCCAAAATTAAAAGTTGTGTTAAAAGTATCAAAACCATCGCTTCGTCCTCCCGAGGTCAAAAACCGGCCTTCATTCGCAACATTTCCCACATAATTCTCCAGACATCGCATACTTTCCTGTAGAACCCCAAAAATATCTGGATTTTATTGTCCAACCCACAGAGAAAGTTTTTGGTCATAAACTAACGGTAACACACATACTTAGTCTCGTTCCACAATTACAAACTTCGATAATTTGCCAATAATTATCCATGAGCCCCCAACACACCCACCTGGTGACGTCTCCATCGCAGCTCGACGCCGAAAAGGCGGAACACCGGATGGCCGACCAACAAGCACCATCCTCCTGCGGTGACGTCACCATGGGTATAAGAAGTAACCCGGCGAAGAAGTTAAGTTGTTAGTCTGTCAACCGCCTTACGGTCAGCACAGGTCATAGCTCTGCATATAACAGTGTTATACGGTGTGATTAATAAGTGTGCTCCAGTGTGACCTACTATCGGGGTAAGTTCCGGGACTAGTGATGAGATTCCAGTGATTGAGTGACAGTGATTTTTCCGAAAAATTTAAATTGAAATGTTTCTCAAACGATTTAACTGTTAAGTTACCGTTAATTCGCCCGATTAAGTGCTAAATATCGAGTCAACTGATCAATTTGACAAGTTTTAGAAAATTAAAACTTCGATTTCTTCTAGCACCATGCGGTTATACCTCTTCGGAGCAGTGCTATGCCTAGCCTTGGCCCATTGCTATAGCAACCCTATAGTGGCACGTGAGGGTAAATCTGAACAGTCTGTCCAAACTGAAGGAATAAAAAAGGAAGAAACAACTGGTGTTACAAGTACTGACAACCCAACCACCGAAGCCCCCAAAAAATTGAAAGAGACTGGTCGCCAATCATCCGATGACGATGACGACGACGACGATGATGATGACGATTTGGGTCTAGATATCGGCGATGATGACGATGATGATGACGACGCCGATGACGATGACGACGATGATGATTATTTTGACCGATTCTTCGATGATATTCTTGGAGGTGAGTCAAATACGTATTGGAAGCTTGGTTATTAATTTTGATTAAGGTGATGATGACGATGATGACGACGACGATGATGACGATGATACCGTGGCCGAGGATGCGCCAGCTGCGCCCGCCCCCGTACAGCCCGTGGTCGCCGCCGCCAGTGAACAAGTGGCCGAGGAGGTCGCCGAAGAAGACACTCTCGAGGAGCACTCTGCTGGCGATTTGGAAAATGAGACAAACGGTACGGCTGTTGAAGCCACTGACAGTGAGACTTTCGTCGACAAAAACCCGACTGAAAGCAGCGAACCTGTCGTCGTCGAAGAGGTGCCAGCGAATGACGCTGAGGACGACGATGACGATGATGACGAAGACGACGACGATGACGATACCCTCGAAGGTCTGACTGATGATGATGATGACGACGATGATGATGACGATGATGATACTGACGATGACGATGACGATGACGAGACTGATCTCGACGATGTTATTGAAGCCAAAAGATCACGTGAGTCCAAATCTCATAAACATAAGAAAACAAAAAAAGCCAGAAAACAACACAAAACATCTAACAAAGTGAGATAGAGTAGTGAGGTTGAATGTCAAAGACTTTCGTATCGTCCATCTTGTACAAAACTGTAGTTGAGTAGATTCGGTTTCTGCTATTCTTCTCCCAAAAAAAAATTAGTGCCAGTTTGTATTCTCTTATTTATTTAAACATTTTTATTTATTTATTTATTTAAATGCTTTTGCATTATACTAGGTATATGTCACAGTCACGTGACCCTAATCTGTATCAATTTGTACAAAAACATTAAAACAGTACAATCCAAATCTTGTGTTTTATTTATTTTAAACAAAATGTTTTTAACATTTTGTGACATTTATCTAGCTAATGCATTTCTCTAACTAATCGCATGTCTTTTCGTAACTAACACACTTTGAGTAGAAATAGAAAAGTTCGAAATTGGGTAAGTAGCAGCATGACGATACCGTTTGACAAGACTCATTGACTTGACAAAGCCATCGACTTAACCAGTAGTGGGGTAGTACTTCCTCATCCTCGTAGAGTAGCAAAATCATGAAAGCATGCTAGAACATCGATCTAACTCGATCTAACAACAGAGCCAACACATGTTCTAAAGTGTTTTCTGGCAAAACTAGAACCATCCCTAAATCGTTATTTCGTAAGGAGCTATGTGAAGAATGTCCGTGAAATCCACGCAGTAGGCCACGGAAGGCACGTCGAAGAGGATGTAGGTCACCTAGTGACCTTGTTCGGCGCATCCTTCCGAGGTCAAGCGGGGGCTTTCGCGCTTCGTTTGGCGGCACTGCTTGCCACATGATGCCTTACTATCAAATAATTAATGCCTTACCAGTGGATTGGAACAAAGCATTTGTTTCGGTAGTCATTATTTCAAGTATCCTTGAGTAGAAAGTCCGGCCCTGACCCGACGTGGCCACTGACCTCGACAGACTTCGAGGATCCGTTATAAATGGTCACAGGCCGGATTTCTTTTCACCGGAACACGAGATTTTCGATTTAAATTCAAATTGAACGCTCATTAAGAAATTCTCAATTACTACTAATCATTAAAACTGGACTATGCTTAACTTGTTTCACTCTTAAAAAAAAACACTGATGATGTAGCAATAAAATAGAAAACACTATATTTTTTTGAATCAGAAAACACAACTCTCGGTACATTCTTATCTTTTTTTCTTCTAGAAAGTACAGGAAATAAAATTTATTAAAAAAATGTATGCAACATTGTGCTGGTGGTTTTTGCAATTCAATTTATTTTCACTTTGTGATTCATTAAACAGTGTAATTATTAAATAATGATGACAAAGAAATAGTTCTAGCAATTAGTGTTTATTTTATCTACAATTATGACAAGATAAATAAATATTTCTGTTGTTTTCTCTAAAATTTATAATCACACAAATCATGCATTCTCGGTATTTATGACACGAAAGCGAATAAACCTACTTTGCACAAAACGAAATTTATCAAGAGCACCCACCGGAAATCCAAATCAATTTTAACAACTGTGACACAATTATTTTACCGTTGTGTTTTGTTCTAAAACCACAAGTAAATTAGTAAAACAGTAGTGGTTCTAGTTTTGCTCAAAAATAGTGCCTTTGTCTCGAATTACGAAAGCACTGTTTTTGCTTCTATACAGGATGCGCCAGAACTCGCGCCCCAAAGAAAAATGCCATATAAGGTAAGATACCAGGAACATGGAAAAAATGTTAAAAAAATTTTATCTATAAAAATTTAGAAGTTATGAGGGTTTAAAGTTTGCACTTTGACTCTACTTAATTCTGTTGGAAAAATAATTTTCCAAGTTTTTTTGCTATAGGCTATTAAAAGAGGGAACAAGGAAGCTCTATCCTAAATTGTAACTCTGTTCAATGTTATTTGTGGCTTTTACTTGCAAAATTTTTGTCCCTTTACTAGATAATTGTAAAAAAACATATACAAGATCATCTGTATCATTAAATAGATATAAAAAAATTTCAAATATCAAAAAATAAATGTCAAAATTTTTTGACAGATAGAATTTTTTAAACATTTTTTTCATGTTCCTGGTATCTTACCTTACTTGAAAATTTTCTCTGGGGCGCGAGTTCTGGCGCACCCTGTATATTTTTGAACCCCCGACTACAACATTTTTCCACATAGGTGCCATGCAAACCCCCCAAATGCCCGCCATGTATATTTCAAAATACAACAGATTCGTCGATAATATAATTGGTCGCATTAACAAAATCCTTGGCAAGTCCTACGATCCAGTCCGTGTGAAACTCCAATCAAACAACGACTCCAAAAAGAAGAAAGCTCCCGCGAATAAAAAGAGCAACAAACGCAAAAATAACAAAAAGCGAACCAATACGAAACGAACCCCCGGAGTGACGAACAAAATGGCGGAAATTGCTATTGCCAGAGCCACAGAGAGCGAAAGTCGCGAACCAGCCTTTATCCTCATTTCCAAAACTAGTGACTCTAAACCGGCAGTCAGGCAAAATACTCCGGTTCAAAGAGCGACAAATCCGAAGAAAAACACAAAGAAGAAGAACAACAAAAACAAGACTAAAGCTACAACTGGGGCTAAAAAACCCAGTCCTAAAGCCAGAGCCACACTTTTTGGCTTGAGCTCAATCAAAAGAGACGGCGATGTTAGTGTAAACATGATGCCAGATCACACAACTGTCAAAACGAATTTTATTCTCGGTCCGCTAACTCTTCGCGTCGAACGCGAGGTATGTTTCAAAAAACTAAATTTTCGTGAATAATGAAGCTGATTTTAGATGGCCAGAGGGGCCAAACGTGAAGTCAAAAGTGCCACAGCTACGACTGCAGAAATGCACGGCCGACTCAACCTTAGGATAGTCCACGGGGGCGCTGCCACCCTCCACTCGATCCGAGTCCTACAACCCAAACAAGTGAGTCCCGAAATTGTGAAAAGTCAGTTGTGAGTGATCTTTTGCAGGTTCGAGTGGAAAGTCTCGACGATCATGACAAAACTAAGGAGTTTATGTGGAGGAAAAGCCCACATATCGCCTCTCTAGTGTCACAAAAGCTGGTTTCAGCGGCTCGATCGATGCTCAAGCCGCCACCGGCCGCATAGATCTCATGGGAAATGATCAAAAGTAGTGCCTTAACTTATTTATTTTATTTATTGTATAGTAGGGTTAGTGTGAGCAGTCAGAGAGGTTGAAAATAAATTTTAATTCATTTCTTGAACTTTTTTACATTCTACAAGGTGATTCAAGTCTTTCCGCCATCCAAAGAATAAAAAATTCAGAAATTTAGACAATATTCTGTTTACCAAAAACGTCATCTCGATTTTTTTCTATCATCTTATGTGGTTTTATGGTCCTGTGTCGAATGTTATACAGGGTGTAACGAAAAGAATAGAATAACCTAAGATTCCCCAGGTCCAAATAAAGCGATTTAACCCAACTTATCTCTACACCAAGTCGCACCGTTTAAAAGTTAGAAGGCGCCAAAGTTTAAAAATTATTTTTAATAATAAAGGTACAGGCAATTTAATATCAAAACCACATTGTCTGGTGTTATTTCTTTTATTTTATTAATAATGTAAAGTACTTATTTCTTAACAACTTGACACATTTTAAACTATATTTTTGTTATTCCTAATCCGAGTGGAGTAATTCTTTTTTTTTATTCGAAAGTTAAACAATTTTTGTATCGGCCTTAGTTTTAGATGAAAAAAATTGTTTAAGTAGATGTGTTAAAATTTTTTAGGTTTTAGTGTCTTTATTTATGTTTGTGTTAGTTAACAATAATATGATAAATTATTAATTACTCTAACTTTTAAATGGAGCAACTTGGTATAAAGGTCAGTTGGGTTAAATTGCTTTATTTTGACCTGGGAAATCTCAGCTTACTCTTTGTCCCCATCTTTTCGTTACACCTTTATTTTAACATCAAAATCTATTCGACAATTTATTCATTACTATATTATGTGTCATTTGGGATTTGGATTAAGGTTGCGACGAAGCGGACCGCAGACTAAACACCTCTCTTTACAAATTTTATTTGCACAACTTATTGTATTACATCACGCATTGCATATCTTTGGATTGTATAATACTAAAGAACAGGTAAATAAAGATAAAATAATCATAGTACAGGTCTCTAAAAAATATGTGGCGATGACAAAATAGCCCTACATTGAGAACTGACTAGTGACACGAATCTACAACTCGCCACGATTATTTTTGATTTTGAGGGACTTTAAATAAAACACACTAGCCTTTAGGTAACAACAATCCATCACCCGTGATGGTTTCCGATTGGCTAACTATTATAATTATTCTGTACAAAATAAAATTTTGCAAGTTATTCAACTGTAAATATAGTCCCTGACAATCTCGGTATACAAATAAAACAAAAGATCACATCGGTTTTACGGAATTGCACTGGAATATGAAAACAAACGACGGTTACTTACCAGGCAAGAGTTCAACACAACAAATTAATAGTCCCCGTATCAGCCCCTAACAACAAAAGTCTATTCAACGGCAGCAACGCCATGGAGGTCAACAGCCCCTTAAACGCGTCCGACCTCAACTTGGTGCTCGAGAACGACGCCTCCATGTCGATAGACGTGTGAACGCCAATCCTATTGGCCGTCGTCCCCGAAATCAGTTCATTATTGTAAACATTCAAACAGTGCACTGGCTCGGTTGCCCCCCTGATAAAAGACGACCTATTAATAGCAATGAGATGGTTCAATCGGACGAGAGGTACTAACCTGAGATGAAACTTAAACTTGCCATCGCTGGCATTCCACACACCGATAGTCTGATCCAGACTTGAGGAAATAAGAGTCGAGTTGTCGGCTGCGATGAGTTGGAGAACTTCACTCTCGTGGGCTTTCCAAGTCGAGATAATTAATCCGGTGCGAGTATCCAGAACGGTGATGGTACCAGATGACTGACCCGTGGCCACCCACGCCCCTGAGGGGGACACCGCGAGACACCGAATTAGCCCAGTCGGGTTCAAACTCACCTAAAACCAAACCGAGGCAAATGCCAAGTCTGAAACCACTTCAAACTTACTTTTAGTTCGTGGATGTAGCTACAAGTTCTCGTATCGATCACTTTAACCGTTCCGTCAGTCGTAGCAGCGAATACAAGACTCGACGGTGCAGGTAAACTCCTTAAAACGTTAACAGGGGGGTACCTGGGAGACTCCAAATGACCCACGTTGACCCCCATGAATGGGTCCCAAATGTGTACTACGCTGTCGCACGACGCTACTAGTCTCATACTTTCGATGAAAGTAATGGAAAGGACTGATTTTTTGTGGGCTGTGTATGTCCATTGACAAGTTGAGACACTCGAACCGTCTCCTTGACTCCTCAGTGACCATAATTTGACAGTTTTGTCCCTACTCCCCGATATGAAACTATTTTCGTTATCTAGGACGTAGAGACACTTAACACTGTGTGTGTGACCAGCGAAAGTCTGTAATTTGATTTGCTTGAAATTAAACATTGTGTCTTTGTCTGAGCGGCCAATTTCGTGCTCCCAATAGGCCAACCAGTTGCCTCTCAAATGTCGACTGTTATTCTCCAATCGATTACTGACAAGACTCAACAAATCCGTATTAACATTTTCCAAATCGTCGGTTTGGACATCGATCCGATTCCCAACTAGGGCTATATTACTCCCGATACTACTCGAAGCCGAAATCGTGGTTTTAAAATCGGCCGATTTCGGTATAGGGACACTCGACTTGGCCCCCTGCTCGTACTCCTGACACAACTCCTTGATCAAACTGTGATTTTTGAGCGAAATCTCCAACGAATTAGCCCCTATATGTCTCAAAAAAGGCAAATAGGCCGTATATGCCAACTCAGTAGTGAAAGCCATTCGCAACTCATCTAAACTCTGCTCAGATGCGTCCTCTAGTAGCAACCCCGAATCCGTGTCATTCATTCGCGAGATTTGAATCGGTTTTCCCCCGACACTCCATTCATTAACAGATCCGTCTCTACACAATTCAACATAGTGAGATTCTTCCTTCTCCGATTGGCTGACTTGACTATCCTCCGGTTGGTGTGCATCTTCCCCCGAAAAGACTTTATCAAAAATGAGAAAAAACCTCTGAAGTGCTGGAACCGCCAAATGGGTTCGAGTCATATCAGAACCCATTCGTATCGAAAGGACGTACAGTGTGTCCAAATATTTACGAGCTAGAATGTTACGAGCTGTATAACCGCTTGGGAATGTGTATTTCGTTGAAGCTAACAGTCTCACAATTGGATGGAGTATATTTTTTAAGATCACGTCCTAAAATTGACAAAGTGGTTGAAGGTGAAATTAAGTGTGTGACCCACCTGTAAATGATCCATCAGAGTTGAGTCAGATAAATAAGGGATGACGTGTTGTAGTAAAGCGAGACATGAGATCAAACCCCCCTCCAAATTGGGAGTCAGTCGTCTTTTGCACAAAGCGATTAATTCGCTCATGTGGGGGATATATTGGAACAGAATCAGCTGCTCCCCGTACAAACCTTAAAACGCATTTTTTCATACAATTTTGCTCTTGTACCGGGTGTCCCAATAAGGTCGGCTAGCGGCTGTTTCTCGGAAACTAGTTTTCTTATAGATTTCGGAAAAAAATCATTACAAAAGTGACCTCAAGAAATTTATGGAAAATGTTTTCCACTCTCAAATCTAAAAATAATTTTCTAAAAAAATATTTTCATTGATAATTAAAGTTTGAGAAACGATAGCGACATCCCGTTTGTGCTATTTTATTTCACAAGTAATAAGGTTGTGAAATAATAAATATAGCTTTTCTTTTAATTTCTCGTGGAAATTTAAACTTAAACATACTCCTTAAAAATGTCATCTGGCGGTCCACTCTCAAATAAAAACTCAAGTATTAATGAATATTATGATTCTGTCATCCAATAACTTCAAAATAAGACCAAGATCATTAAAATCGGTTGATATAGTAGAGAGCTGTCGAACTTTATCTGGAATAAGGTTCCTCCCTACCCCTATCACTTATTTCAAAAGATAGGTCAAAATCACGTCAAAATGTCAAATAAATAATTTTTCGAGTGTTATAAGGAGTGTCCAAAACCCTTACACAATACCCACCTTGATCATAAATTTTATAAAGAAATTACCATTTTTCGATTTTGATTTGACATTCGCCATTTAGCGCTGATATTTGAGAGTGGAAAACAAATTCCATAAATATTTTGAAGTCACTTTTGTTATCATTTTTTTTCCGAAATCTATAGGAAAACTGGTTTCCGAAATACAGTCGTTAGCCAACTTTATTGGGACACCCAGGGTGCACCAGAATTCACGCCCCAGAAGAAAATTTCAAGTAAGATAAGATACCAAGAACATGGAAAAAATGTTTAAAAAATTCTATCTGTCAAAAAATCTTATGATACTGATGATCTTGTATACCAGGTGAATAAAAAGTATGGAACCAAACGTTTTTTGCTTAAACTATTTATTTTTTGAAAAAACTAATTGATGAGTGCTAAAGTACTATAAAAATGTGATGATTTAACAAGAATAAAAAATTTCGTTCTGAAAATATGATCACATTTTTTATATTACTTTAATTTATATTAATTATTATTTTCTGGAGGCAAATGATTATAAATAAAACCGCTTGGTTCCATACTTTATATTCACCCTGTATGTTTTTTTTTTTATAATTATTTAGTAAAGGTACAAAAATTTTGCCAATAAAAGCTATAAATAACATAGGATACAGCTTCCTTGTTTCCTCTTCTAATAGCTTGTAGTAAAAAAACTTGGAAAAGTATTTTTCCAACATAAATAAATAGAGTCAAAGTGCAAAATTTAAACTCTCATAACTTCGAAATTTTTATAGATAACATTTTTTTTATGTTCCTGGTATCTTACCTTACATGGCATTTTTCTCTGGGGCGCGAATTCTGGCGCACCCTGTATAAATTATTGAAAATTTTAATCAAAAATCACTTACCTGCAATACTCGTCAGGCATTCCAAAACCTTGACCGCATTTTGGTCTCCCAAAACATAACTATTAACCACCGAAAGCGTTTCAATCTCCCTCGAATGTTCTTCTTTTTGTACTAGAGTCAAATTATCCTTGCCCACATAGCACAAAGTCAACATTTTGAGCAAATTTCGTGACAGATATCGAGCCGTGAGGACCGGCCCCAGTCTATGTGACAACCAAACCAGACTATCAGAACTCATATCTGATATTTTCGCGTCTTGTTTCTTAGATTTGGAGACAGATGGCGGTTTCTTTTGATCGGAAGCAGTCGACCCGGGTGAATCCAAGACTAAATCGAGTTGAAGTGAGTCACTTTTCTTACTCCCAACCTCACAACTAATATTACTGAATTCTTGTTTGGTGGAAGGGATTGGAATGGTTGGGGAGGAAACCCCAGGTCTAATTTCAATGTCGTCTTCACTAAGATTCATGGTGAGTTCCTCGAGACTTCTCAATTGGTCCAGATTTTCAGTTAGAGTGGCATCTAATGCCTCCTCTGCTGTCGAGTGATTAAAAGGCAAATCAGAGGCTACGTTTAACTCTAAATGTTCCATCAGCGATTTTAATTGTTCTTCGTTTTGTTTATCATCATCAAAATCAAAAACTTCCGGTTCAGCAGCGACTTCTTGTTTTGGAGTTGGCCGTTTATCAGATGAGACACTCGAGTCATCACTCCCGGAAGTATCAACATGTTCGGTATCCATCGTTTTCAAATGCGACGTTTTCCGAACAAATTTTTCCGAATGTGTGTGAAGAATAAAATCGACTTTTTCGTAGTCTTTATATCGACCAACGGCTTCCACAAGAGGCGCTACAAGATTATCCAAAAAACACTTCAATCCAAGTCTTACAATCAGTCGTAAGAGAAAACTATGATGATACAACTTCGCAATTTTGCCATAGTATGGCAAAGTGGCCTCGGTTGGTTCATTTTCATACAATTTCAAAATTGGTTCAAGGAGACTTTCTGCCGTTTTTTGGGGTCCCAAAACACGTGAAAGCGGGTCGAATAAATACCAAGCAGCTAGGACTGATGTTGGAGGATCCTCAATCAATTCTTGGATATGCGGGATGAGTATATTTGCAACTTCCAAATCAGTAGTTGTGTTCAACTCTTCCAGTAAACTCTCCAAATTCCTGGCACAGGATTTGACTTTACACTCACCGATGTTTTGAGCGAATAACACTTTCGTCCGTTCCAAACTTTCGTATTCTGCACACATTTCGCCGTTACAGTCGAAGTGGTACAAAACTCCCAACTCCGTGGCCACGTTTTTGAAGTCTTTGAGGGTCGCGATAAGCGAGTACAAATAAGGGAAAAGTCGAGAAAAGGGGATTACGGAATGGAGAAGCGGTTCCAGGAGCTGATGGGCACTTGGTGGAGGTAATCCCAAATTGGTCACGGACGGATATTTGAACTCCTTGAAGATGATAGTATCAGGTTGGAGTAACAAATGAACAACGTATGAAATACAGGGGGGGATTTCGGCACAACTTTTGACCACTGTAAGACAGGCTTTAAACCTGTCGGTGAAAGACAAATTCGAATCGTTGGCACCTAACGCTCGCAACTGTTTCGACATGAATATTTCCACAATGAGACATCCGAGAATTTGCAACTCTCGGATGCGTCTCGCTGAGATGATATCAGAGTAGTTGCAAATAATATGATTTTCATTTTTTTGTATTTTGGAGCGGTGAAAATTCTGATTGTCTTGTAACAAACGTTTTTCAAAATTTTCACTAAAAATCAGATTTGTGAAAGCGTTTTGTACCAAACAATCATCATTTGTTTGCTCCTTGAGCGTTTTATCCTCCAGATATTTAACCCGTTTCTCTTCAAGGTGAAAACTTTTCGAGAAAAACGAATGTTTCTTTTCCAAATTCTCCAGATATTGCTCCGGGCGATACTCCTTCGGCAAGTAGATAACTCCGGTGGTCAGTGACGAACTTTGAACTTTGAGATGTGAGGCAAAGGCCGGATTTTTCGGTCCTGAACTTAAACTTCGGGTCGAATTTTTCGGTTTTTCTTCATTGAGAGATGACCGACTTCGGGAGAGAAACCGGGAAAGGCCCAGTGATCGGTTTGAGAAAGTTGGAACGTCGTCGACGTCTTCGTCGTCGGTTTTTGAGTCGAGGGCTAAAGCCGGTGAGTTGCTCCGGTCACGTGACTTCGATTTGGTCTTGCTGATGTAAATTTTCGGGGGTATTTTGTTCCAGAAGAGGGTTGGAGTGGCTTTTGGGGGATGCGGATGGGTGAAGAGTTGGACAATTCCAGATTTCATCAGTTTGGTGTGGTCGTCGACGAGATGGAGGCAGACGTTTTTGGCCTTGATAGCGGCGGTGCCGGCCAATCTAAAAATAAATCGTAATAATTTTTTTCCGAGCAAACAAAAAATATTATTTTAATTACTTGTATCCAAAAGTGAGGTCAATCCAATAATGTAGCCTCTCCGACACGTGTGCACTCTCCAAGGCTTCTCTGTGTTTCTCGATAAAATCTTCCGGTCCTGCACACCACGTGGGTACTTCCAAGTCATCCAAATCGTCATGTATACTCTTAAAAACCGTCGGATCTGTGAAAAACTCTGGAATACACTCATCTGGAGTCCACTCTTGCATTCTCTGAATCGAGCTTGGGTACTCCGCTGGTACCCAAATTGTCCTCACATTCTTACACAAAACCGACTTGGGGGTCCTCCTCGCCATGTAGACGTAATAGGTGATTGAAGACAAGACATCAGACACGTGGTGGGGCACTTGCGACGACGCATTTTCATAAGTCAAGTCCAACTGTCGGTCCCCTTTATTAAGTCTATATTTGGATTTCTTTAAATCGCGCCAGTTTTTGCCACACCTTGAAGCGAAATCGGTGACCCACGGAAAGACATGGTGGCAATTGGGGTCGCCCAATTTCCTCCCTGAAAGCTTATTCAAAGCGGAAATGTACGTGAAATTTGAGATTTGGCCTTCAACCCATAATTGACATAATTCTTGCAGAGTTTCATTGGTGACTTGAACTTTGTCGTATGTTTTTATTCCACAGCCTTCACATTTGAGATTTAGGTCGAATTTGTGGCCGTTTTTGCGACAGTCGTAGATATTTACGTGTCTTTTTGTGTCATTTTTTGTTTCTTGGACGTAAATGTTTGAGTGGATGCTTGGGATTATGTAAATCCACATGTCTTCAGTCAAGTAAATGTCATTCAAGGAGATATCCCCTAGAGTGAGGCTGCGGTCATGCATTGATTTCAAAGTTTGTAACAATTGGTAGATTATAAATAACGGTTTGGCGTAACATTTATTTAAAATTGCGGGGCTGAAAGTAACACAATCTTTCAAATTGTGGTCAAAATAGGGCATGTGTATGACGAAAATTGCGTTAAGAGTCTCTACAGCACAAACAGCTGGTAATATATTTAAGTGTACGTCAAAATTCTTTGATTGCTCTGTGATTAGTCTTGAGTCGCAAATATTTACAATGGGGCATCCATAAATCCTTGTTATAATCTCTCTCAAAACCTCATTATATTCCACTAGAGAAATTTGTGTTTCTTTATTTGATTCGGTTTTACTGTTGTATTTCTTATACGCCTCCTTCCACAAATTCTTATAATTCGTTTGATAAATATGTTGCATTAATTGACAGAATAGTAAAGGGGGGTCATCTTTGATCAAACTCCGAATGCGAGGTAATGGAATCACGTTAGCATCACGTTTTTTAAAAACACAGATAAACACTTTACTCCACGAAGTCCCCAGCTCCTCCTCACTTACTGGCCAGGCGTCAAAACGCCCCCTTTCTATGAATTCCACAAGTTTTGAGTACTTTACCAGTGACCTAAAAAACGGAATTTAGCAACTTTTTATTAATTTTTTTATTGGATTTTACTTGAGCCATGATTTATGTACCAGAGCTATGTAATGTCCGTCTTTAGTTGTCGGTTTCAGGTACTTTTTTGGTACACCTAGTTCTTCAAAAATGTCCATTTCTAGGAGATTTCGTGTCAAACAATTTCGATTTTGCGACACTTTCGAATGAACAAAGACGTCAAAAGGATAAAAAAGTGCATTATTGGGGTTTAACGGTGTGAGATCATCTTTGTATACAAAACAAACTCGGATTTTGATTGAACATAACCTTAATCTGTGAGTCAGCTGGATTTTTTGTCACTTGTCAATGCTGCCAATATTATTTTTTGACACAATTTTTAGCGAAAAAACTAGCCTAAAATAAACATTTTTGTATAATTTAAATAATTGAAAACATAAATAAAAGCTGTGTTCAAGAATTAAAAAAAAAGATGGAAAGTTTGTTTCAGTGCTGTAGGTTCAGTCAAGGTAATTGCAAATTATTTTTCTAGAAATGGTTTATTCCAGTAACCTTACAATACAATACAATAAAATACACAAATGTAGCTTTACAAAAACCATACATTAAAACTTGACATATCTAAAAAATACAAAAAATGTATTTTGTACAAAAACGTGGTTAGTATGAAGTGTATCCTCTATCGTATAAATTAACTGAGGTAAAAGGTCTTAATGCTGGGTCTGCTTCTGGTAGAGAACCCCCAGTTGTAGTCCTCACGTCTTGGTCTAACAAAACAACATCTTGCGAGAAAGCACTTTTTCTAAAAAAAAAAAAAAAACAAAGTATATGCAAAAGTCCTTTTAAAAACTTGAATTACGTACCTTAAAACATCATCATATTCTTCACCTAAAATAGCTTCATTTTCTGTAAAAACAACAGTCTGGTAGCCATCTTTATTCACCGAATATTTATGTAAAGTTCCATTATAAACTAATAAATCGTCCACTAGAATCTATACACAAATGTTTTTAACACACGTTCAAATTTGAAAAATTTTTAAAATTACCCCAAACTCTTTAATCCCCCTCATTGGTGTCTTTGAATAATTCCACAACTTGACCAAAGAAACAACAATAGGTTCGTCCATAACGACATAAATCCGATTTAAATGTTTGGGTATAATGGGGGCTAGCCACGAGTGTGACCCTGTATGGTCATTATTAACCCCATCTATGAGTTTATTGGGAGTTCTGACATCCCCTATCAACTCCGGTAGCGAATTTACACTCTCAGGATACGCACAAATATTTTGCTCATCTAGTAAAATCTTTTTCCCATACTGGTTATACAACTCCAAACCATTCAGACCGCAGTAATATTGGTCCCCCCAAGTCGAAAAAATAACAAATTGAATAACAAAACCCTCCGGCATAGCTGAAGGCTCATAAAGCTCGTCTTGATCTAACAAAGACGGCATTTCATTATGGATGTCTCCTACAGTCAATTCTTCGACAAACTTAATATCTTGGACGTAATCATAATGTTGATTTCCTGGCGCTCGTCGCAAAATAAAAATCTCGTTCTTGGTTAAAGGATTTTTGACAGGTTTGCCATCCAAGAGGATTTTCATAGCGCGAACTCCAGCGTAAGAAGTTTCCAAACTGCTGTTATAATTCCAAATTCTGATCCCTGACACGTATTTAAAATCGTCAAAGTTCATTCTAATGATGACTTCTTCACCAAATTCAAAAGGGGCGCACCACATGTTTGTATCATCATTTGTGATGTTGACTCCGTCGATTAAGTTCGATAAAGTGTAATTATCACTTTTTATATTACACGTCAAATTGTTTTGTTTGATGTTGATAACTGTATCATTGTCTTGGACTAATTCAAATCCGGTTAAACCGATCATTGTGAGGTGACCCCAATTGGATAAAAGGACAAGCTCTATTTGACTTGCCCCCAAGAGAATTTGGTCCGTGGGGGAGCTTTTGGTAGCAGGTCCCGTTACAGGACGAATCTGAATCAGGACCATCATTATTTTATACAAAAAACAAAATAAAACCTATACAAAAATTAAACAAAACAAATAAAATTTAAGACAAGAAATCACACAAATCTTTAAGTAAAAATAAGTTTCTTTAGATCCAAATCTGTTATCAAAAGCTGTTGTTACTGTGTACTAAATTAAGTTTTTGAAGATACCTATAAGTAGGTAATTTAGAAAAATAAAATTTGTCATCTTGACCGATTTTTGCTTAAAAGATGTAGATTAGAACATTATTGTAATTTAATAAAAAAATACGCAAAAAATATATTTCCGAGACTTACGTCAGAGATCAAAGCGGACGTTGGGGGCCGTTCCATAATGGTCGGAGTAGCAGGCCCTGACGTAAGAAAGGAATACGAAGAATCATTTTTCGATATGCTTTCCAATATTTCATCGTCTGTTGTAAACAATATCGTCTAAAAAACAGCATGTCACGGTGCCAACTTAAAAAAATCACTCACATCACCAAAAGCTTCAATACTGCCCAACATTCCACCACAAGCTTTCGCAATTTCGCCTTTAAAAATTGCCATATCGTCCAGAAACATCACGATATCTCGGACACCTCTGTACGAATGAATTCGCGATTTGTTATAGTTCTAAAAAAAATTTACCAACTGCAAACTCATCATCAAAATATAATTTTTACCCAAATCCGTATCATAGCTAAAGTCTCAACTTTTTCAAACTCGATTGTTATAATGTGGCTGCACCCCATTTCAAAAGGCGCCAACCAAATATGCATATCATCCTGAGTCTTGCAAACTCCATCTAGCAAATTTGTAACGACTCTAGGATCAGCGTTACATTTCGGTAAAACATTAACATCCGGAGGAACTGCTGTTATCTACAAATTTCCTTGTTACCACAAATTATTTTTACAAACAAAATCTAACTTTTTTCACTTTCACCAACTTGCCATCAATCCCAAAAATTTCAATTCCGTTCAAACCCACGTAATATTTATCACCCCAAGTGGTCAAAATGTCAATAATCAAAGTTTGCCCCGAGGGCAGCTCCGGAATTATAAAAACACTCTCTTTCGCTACTTTCACTTTCGAACTTTTACTCTTGTATTTCGAATTCGAGTTGTATTTGAAGAAAGTGGGCCCGTCGGGTTCACCCCCTCGTTCTAAACTATGCCGTTTAAGTCGTTCAGTAATCCGTTCATTTTCGGCCAAAAGCTCCGAAATAATCTCCTCTCGAAGCTTGTTCTCCTTGTCAATATTGAGTTGATACTCTGATAATTTTTTTTCAAACGATGAGTCGTATCTCCGAGGGTACATTTCGATTTGGCTTTTCGAAGTAGTCGATTTGTGATAGTTCGACATTTCGCTCCTGCTTCGATTTGGCACAGTTTGGTCTAAAAGTGAGGGGCTGTACGAACCGACCTCGTCGTTTGAGAAAATCGGTGACAAAACTGAATCGAAATCTACAATAATCCCAGAAAAACACAAACATGGGGAGTAGTTTTTATTGGTTTTTACACAAATTTCAGGATTGGGGACACTTCACTTACCAATTTTCGAGTCTAGTATAAAATTTTTGGCACTGTCGAGACGCCCTTTGTGAGATTGTTTGAAATGGTCGAGGCTTTTCCAGGATTTTTCTAGATCTTCTTGGTAGGGATCCCGGTTTAGGGACTTCCAGTCAAATTTTTCGTCAAGAGTGGGAATTAGATACTCGGACTGGGTCATCGCGATGTTGGATACACTCTTTTCTTCGAGTAACTGGGAAGCGAGAGATGATCTACGACCATATTTGGCTGAAGACGACTCGTGTCTCCTCCTAAAATAATTATAGGTATTAATAACCCGGCGCATCCACCAAAAACTTACCGATTTCGAGAATCTAGGCCTTCGAAAAAATTCTTCACATCTAGACTATAAGCCAAACTTTTATTTTTCTCAACTCGATTATTATGACTCTGGACTATTTTTCTACAAAATATTTATTTATCTCTTCGTTTAATTAAACTTATCGCAAGCCTTACTGAGATATTTCTTCCAGCCACTTCGGAACTGTTCCATGTGATGGTATATCGGTCGAATTCCTCCCATTAAACTCTTCATTCTTCGTTGGGATATTCTGATCCATGATAATTCACCACTACTTAAATTTCTCTACAACTATGACCCATGACGTTATCGATTAAATCAATTTATCTTACAACCTCCTAGTAATTTTCTCGAAATAATGCTCGATCACATTGCACTTTAAGGGTCAAATTCTGACGTTATGGAATTTAAATGAATTTCCTCACTTTTTGTTTTGGTTGCATGTTGCCATGCCAACAATTCAGGCTTTGAGGAAAGGAGGAAGTAATGACCCAAAGGCTGTGCAAGAATTCGTTTTAAAAGGACAAAAGATTTCATTTTAAGGAAAACAATAAAAGTTTTATCGATAACACATATGTCATAAATCACGGCTTTGAGGTAAATAGGTTTTAGCCTAAAAAAAAAAACATTTGAAGTGCTCCGATTCTTTCTAGTTTACATACGAATAATTTCAGTAAAAATATACCTACATATATCAATGGAAAACCTTAATTTAAAAAATTAATTTGCATTGTATTTTTTTGAGTATTTCAAGTACCGTGCGATCAAATAAAAAATAAATTAGAGTAGGCGTCGATTAAATTCTACAGTTGGCAACACTTTGGCTGGGAATCTGGGCTGGAAATTTTCCACACAAACTGAAAGTGAAAATGACCATCCACCGTTTTCCTTTTGTACAACAATAAAAAATTTCTGCTCTAAAGAGAACATTATTTCGCTCAAAAGGAATTAAACGCAAACTTGTCAAAAGTTTCCGCTGACATTTGAAGTCAAAAATCAGGATTGCCATCTGAAGGACTTTAATCACCGCTTACTCTAATTTATTTATTTTTTTGATCGCACGGTACAACAAACCTTTTTTATCTGCCCCGCCCATACGGTTTTCTTAGCGACCAATAAAATATGTCTCTAAGGCGGTCAGATTTTAACTGAATTTTTGATTTTTAAATTTTTGTTACAAAAATGGACTTATGAAGAATGTTTTGAAAGATTTAATTATAAACACAATGTGTTAAAGAAGGATTATATGTCAGTTAAGTGATTTTGATTGTTGTGGATTAATTTATTTAATAGAACAAATTGCCTTTTAGAGTATGAGAAAATATAAAATATTTGAAACATGCAAGTGTAAGGACTATCTTGAAAATAAGTGCCTGAAAAAGCATAAATGATTAAAAAATAAGAATGCATGATTCGCTACTTTCACAGAAAATATTTCTTTCCAACTGACATTGTGGGAATTCTCAAAAACATGATTTCTTATTTTATTTATTAATTTTTGGCGTGCTTTTCTAAATTGGGCTGAGTTTGATGGTTACCCACATTTTTTTCTAGCCACGATCGAATCGTGACCGAAGTTCGATTTTAATTGCTGATTATCTAACTATTCTTTTTTTTAACATAAAAAACAATTCTATTTTTATATCTACATATTCTAAAATTAATAAAAAATAAAGAGTGGCTTTTCTGCCTGCCATTGTTACATTATTAAATAATTCCTTTCTAAACTGTAAAAGAATGAAGCCAATTTATTAGCAGGTAATAACATTGCTATATAAAGCACTAGTCCCTTTCTGAGACACTTTAGTGAACTGTGTTTTCAACTTAGTTAATTTTTTAATACAAATCAGTCGAAATACCTTGACATTTAGTAATAGGTACCTTAAAAACAGAGCAGAATACTTAAAAAAATGTTATGTGCTGAACAGGACTATAGTAGCACTAAAGAAGTAAAAATCTTATTTTTTAGCTTTGATTTTGTATAATAAATTAAAAAAAAAATGTATATTTAGTTTCCTCTTCATTAATACTAATTTTGTGGGAGGAAAAAAGGAATGAATACATTTAGACTCGCATTTAATCATCGTTGTTACTCATTTATTAACTTGCAAACAGTAAAACTATAAAATATAAAAAAGCAAAAAACAAAAATCAGTCTATTTGTATAAATTATAAACCGACTCTCCCAAATGAAAAGTCTTAATTCCCTTATCGTAGGCTTTAAAATGAAACTGTGTAACCTGCGCTTTCCCTGATTTTTCAATAGTCATAACACCCGTGACTTCCCTACTGATTCCAGTTTTCAAAGGCAAAACCTCTATAACAACATCAGACACATAATTTAAATTATTACAAATGATTTCATCAGGTTTACTACAAACGTGCGTGTTAATCACAACAGAAACCCGATCATCGTTAATAAGACTTAAACAATAATTTATAAAGCTTATAATGTACTTAAGATCGATTCCTAGATCTAACAAATGGCTAATATCGTCAATTATTAAATAGGCACGATTGGGGGTGGTTGCTGTAAATTCTTCAATACTGTTTTTGATACTCGTGAAAAGGGCTTTAACGATTTGCTCCTTATCATCAATTAGATAATTAGTCCCGTTTCCAATATCCTCCACAATGTCCTTAAGGGGTTCAATGGTTTTAATACAACCCTCTTCAACCTGTTTGAGAAAATCGTACCCTAATCTCTTGCCTACATTGTGATAATGACCTAAAGTATTGTGTAAAATCACAAAACATAGCTTGTTATTTTCAAACAAGATCTGTTTGATGAGGTGCGTTATGACGAAATTGGAGTCAATATTTCCGTTTTCTTTGATCGAGATGACTTTATCCGTGGATTTGATGTCAAGCGAGACCAACAAGGGGTTGATGGTGGCCATCCTCGCGATCCCTGGAACCAAACCCCATCCTGGTTAAAAACTCGACAGAAACGCCATTACATAATCAATAAGAGGTCAAGGCAATCACTCCATTACAAATGAGCAAAGTGCATCTAGTTTCGCAGAAAATTGCTCAACCTTGACGACCAAGTGCCGATTCACGTGTTGCAAGACCATGAGAGGGTTCACTAGGACAATGAGGACGTCCGAATTGCTCCCTCACATGACCCCTCATTAACATCGTTAAATGCAACACAAGAGTGGGCCTACCTGCACGAAACCGCCAGGAATCCGCCCCAAAACACGTAAGTCCACTCCAGCACGCCTCAATCCAACATAAAACGCATTTTTCGCGACATAACCTCAGAAATAGTCGCCGCTAGGGGGCGCGGATTTTGCGCTAATTTTTGAATTATTCGAGAGCTTTGATAACATGATACGTTAAATGCTTGGCGTTATCATTGGGATTGAGTGTGTGAGTGGTGGTCTTGACGAGTCATCAATTTTTGTTTTAGTATAATGGCCAAGGAACAGAAACTGTCCAGGTGGTACTTTGGGGGCATTGCTTCCGCAATGGCCTGCTGCTGCACGCACCCCCTGGATCTGCTCAAAGTACAGCTACAGACGCAGCAGGAAGGGAAGACTTCAGTCGTACGCTTAACCGTAAACATTGTCAAAAAGCAGGGTGAGAGTTTTATTAGAAAAACTGCTAGAGTAGGATATAGATCCTGAGGAATTCTTCAGTAAGCCCTGTAACATGTAATTATCGACGAGTTTGATTGATAACGCATGTATAATTAATTATTTGGGTAAACAAGTTCCACTATTGCTAATTAAATGCAAACTGGGCGAGACTGGCACCAAGTGACATTGAAATTAATTTATTATTTTTTGATGAGTTGACAATTTGAGTGATGTTTGGGAATTTTGAATCTTGGGTTGGCACCATGGAGGTGTTCAATCACAAAAACAAAAACTTTAATTCCACCTTTTTCGCTTATTAATAATTTTACGCACATAAATTAAAGTCTCAATTAACTTAAATAACACAAATAATACCCAATTAGTAATTAGTTTTATTATTTCAAGGGGTTACTGCACTTTATAATGGCTTATCCGCCTCATTATTACGACAACTCACGTATTCAACGACTCGTTTTGGAATTTACGAAAGCGTAAAGCAAATGATGGATAAAGACAGCAGTTTTTCGGCTCGAGTAGCACTTGCGGCCTTTGCTGGGTCTGCTGGAGGTCTCGTGGGAACCCCCGCCGATAAAATCAACGTTCGGATGCAAAACGACATCAAACTTTCCCCTGAAAAACGCCTAAAGTAATAAATCAATAAAAGATTCGCGAAGAACACACTGTTTTTTTCAGTTATAAACACGCCCTTGATGGTCTTTTGCGCGTCTATAAGGAGGAGGGGATTCCCCGGCTCTTCTCCGGTGCCACTGCAGCCACCTTTCGTGCGGCTTTGATGACTATTGGCCAGCTCTCTTTCTATGACCAGATTAAAAAGACTCTCTTAACTACCGATTATTTTGAAGATAATTTGACGACTCATTTCGTTTCTAGTCTTACTGCGGTAAGTTTGAAATAAATTGGTAGCCCTGTATGTGATTTTCATCTAGGGAGCCATTGCTACCACCTTGACACAACCCTTGGATGTTCTCAAAACGCGTACAATGAATGCTAAACCGGGCGAGTTCAAGGGAATGTGGGATATAATTCTTTATACTGCCAAACTAGGACCGTTAGGATTTTTCAAAGGATACGTACCGGCGTTTGTAAGGTTGGCACCCCAAACGATTCTTACTTTCGTTTTTCTTGAACAATTGAGGTTCAATTTCGGGTATTTCCCCGAGAAAAATCAATAAATGGTTTATTAGGCTATTTGATGTTAAGTAAAATATTTATGACTCTCTGAGAGATTAAAAATGTCCATTTAACAGGAATTTAGGTTAAGTAACAACAATGTTGATTGTGTGTTTAGGGGAAGTCTTGTTTTACGTGTGTAAAATATTTCAATTTATGGTGATAATGTTGCAATATTGTTTTACCTACCAAGTCATGGAATACTGTCTTTATTGTTTTTTTTATTATTTATTTTTAAAACTAATACACTTGTTAACATTAGTTATATATTTTTATAACACATTATTTTCCCAAAATAAAAAATATCGCAGTTAATGAAATTTTCAATTAAAGTAACCATTAATCAAAAATGACACTGTTTTTTTTGCTCATTGCTAAATGAGCACTTCTGACAAAGTCCCACGATGGTACTTCGGTGGAGTTGCTTCAGCGATGGCGACTTTCTTCACCCACCCATTGGATTTAATCAAAGTACATTTACAAACCCATGCTGGTAAAAAAATATCGATAATAAACCTCACCACAGACATTGTGAAGCAAAATGGTAAGTGTCCATCAATCCTTTATAGACAAAGCCACAACAAATTTAAGGTTTTCTAAGTCTATACAATGGTCTCTCGGCTTCCATTTGTCGCCAACTCACTTATTCTGTCATCAGATTCGGTATTTACGACACTGCAAAACTTTACATGGAAAAAGACAGTAGTCTCACAAGTCGAATTTTTATTGCCTTTTTTGCAGGTAGTTTCGGGGGTTTTGTGGGGACGCCCCCGGATAAAGTAAACGTTCGGATGCAAAACGATATAAAATTACCCCCAGATAAAAGACTCAAGTAATTACAGTTTTTATCACAATCAAAAATAATTTTATTTTTTCAGTTATAAGCATGCTTTTGACGGCCTTTGGCGCATTTATAAAACGGAAGGTTTTGCGAAACTGTTTACAGGGGGTGGAACTGCTTCATTTCGAGCTGGGGTCATGGGGGTGGGACAATTAACCTCTTATGATCAAATCAAAAGGGTTCTTTTAAGGACAAGCTATTTTGAAGATAATTTAATTACACATTTTACGTGTAGTATGGGAGCTGTAAGTCTTTTTTCAAAGTTACAGAGTTCTGAATTTCCGGAAATTCTAGGCTGTTATTGCCACAACGATAACTCAACCTTTAGATGTGATTAAAACACGGATAATGAACGCGAAGCCTGGAGAATTTAAAAATGTTTTAGATGTTATATTGTTTACAGCAAAGGAAGGACCGTTGGGCTTTTTTAAGGGCTACGTCCCTGCGTTTTTAAGGATAGGGCCTCATACAATTATAACTTTTATTTTTTATGAACGATTGAGAATGTATTTTGGGTACATACCGGAACCGAAAATGAAATAAAAACTTATTTTTACACGATTTATTACAACATAGAGATTAAAAACATGATATAAACATTTAACACAAAATAAAAATTTGTACTGGAATATTAAAAATGTTAAAAACTTTAAGTATCACGGCAAGAAACGGGGAATAAATACTTTATAAATGCATTTGTTTCTAACTTCTACTCTGATTAATAAGTACAGGACATTTATTGACTAAAGTCACTTTTATAACACAAGGGTGTTGCTCCCAAGGCTCACCATCGATCTGAATTGGTGATTTTGACTTAAGCCGTACCTGAAACATTTGACTTAAACCATTTTATTAAAAATTTCCAAATAAAGCACCTCAACTGTTTTGGCTTGACCTAATTTTAATGGAGTGGAAAGACCAACTTGTAGTTGTGCAATATGAAAGGAAGAATAGATTCCTAAAACTTCTAAAACACCATCATGATATGACTGGGCCGGCTTTGTGTTATTTCCCAAAAGACCTAAAATGTCCAAAATGAAAAAAAAACCCAAACTGGTGAGATTTTACCCCATAAATTGACCCCCGCGCCCCATGATGGTATATTTAAAATAACAATTGATTCCAATTCAGGCAAATCGATTTGTTTCCCATCCAAATATAAGTCGATTTTTTGTTCCAAATTCTTACAATCTGACGTAACCACTTGTTGGGTACCGAAACATAAATAAAGTATCTACAATTCAGTCTTTTTTAGTAAAAAATTATAACGTGTTAACTAACCCACTTTATTAAAAATTCTACTCCCGAACACATAGAATAAGCTATCTCGGGTCTTATGGAAATTCAAAGCCACCTGTGCATCAACTCCAATCCCGATGTAATTATACATATAGAGTGTTTTGTTCGGAATGCGTAGCCCCAAGTGTCTCGAAGACGTTATTTCAACTCTCCACCTTAAGTCAAATTAATAACAAAATAAAAACCAGTAAAAATATAATACCGGTCCAATTGGGCCAATCGCGCATTCTGGACATTTTGTAACACTTCTCCCACATCCAACTCTGACGGATTTTCCTTCCCCCACCCCAAAACCCTACTTAAGTCATTTCCGGTCCCTAGAGGCACAATCGCAAGAGGCGGCTCCGGCTGAAACCCTCCAAATTAACGCTTGAAAAACCCCCAAAACAACAATTACGTCCAAATCTAATTTATGTGAAGTTGTCAAGACCCATGCCACTGTTCCATCTCCTCCCCCCACTAAAACCCTTATTTCTTTAGGAGCCAAAAGTACGGCCCATTGTAACGCCGCTGGTGGCTTCCGGTCACTCAAATCTATAACCTGGACAGGATTCAAATATTTTCGGAATTCAGACAAGAGCAGAGCCCCATCACTGTTGCCTGATTTTTTATTTGCCACTACAACCAAAGGCGTCCAGTTTTTCCATCCAGGATCTTTGACTCCGCGGAGCAAGAGGTGTTTATTGAGAGCTCCCTTCCGACGTGCCACTTGCACGCACCAGGGTGGAACTATCATGTTTTTAAATGGGCCAAAATCACACTCTTTAGGGAGTTTTGGAAGACAGTCGGTGTGGACAGTCCTTTGACACCAACAGCACTGGTAGTCAATCAAACCAGGCTCCATTGAACAGTCCTCGTTGCAAAAGCAACAGATAGCCCCCAGAGGCAAGTTCCCTTAAAAATATGCAATTTTCATTTAATTTTCTGATTTATTTAATGATACCTTTGACCCAATGGTGCGCCTGACTGTCATTATTACTCGTCACGATTTTACACTGCAACTTCGCGTTGGCTTTTTTAACGCATTCTGGGTCAGCACAAACACCACAACAATCGCAATAAACCCCAATGCCATTAATTAAAAAAGATTCACAAATTGAGCAATACCATGCCTATAACGGAAATATTAAAATTGAAAATGTGAGACTTTGGGGGGGTTACCCGTGCGGTGATTTTAATGGGGGTCCAACTGTGATTCTTTGAGGAATCTCGTATAGGGACATTACCGTCACCACTCAACCATTTAAAAAGATAAAAACTTATAATACACACGATAAAAGTGCTAAGTACTGTAGGAACACTCAAAGGAGGTGTTAAGTCACCCACTAACCACATTTTGAAGTTTAAACGATAAAACTTACTGAAAACTGCCATGATTTTATTACATTTTGTCTGATATTTGTTATTGACAAAAATACAGGATTCAGTCCTATGTCAATAAAGGGCTGCATTTGTACAACTTCGCCACTTAAGGGTATCAAGGTGACACACACGGTAGTTGAAAATCAAGCAGAAGCTAATTACTGGAGACAACTAAAAACAAATTCTTTTTTTACTGACATTACCACTTCTGTAGTGACCTCGAAATATTAATTGCTTGTTTCACTCATAAACACGTCCTTAAATTGGTTTTACACGTCTATTATTAAAATTAAATACATTTCAATAATTATAAACAAAACTTGTTGTCATGCTGTCATCTGTCAAAAACGTTGACGCGCATAAAAATCCCCAGATTTGAAAGTGCGCGGTTGAATTTTTAGGTTAGAATGGAAGAACCAAAAGAAATCAAAAAATTGGATGAGGCCGTAATTAACAGAATTGCGGCCGGAGAAATCATACAAAGACCGGCAAATGCCCTTAAAGAAATGATCGAAAATAGCCTCGACGCTAAAAGCACAAATATCCAAATTATGGTCAAAAACGGTGGCTTGAAGCTACTTCAGGTCGGTTTTTGTGATAAAAAGTGTCCATAGAAATACATTCCGTGTTATAGATTCAAGACAATGGCACAGGGATCCGTAAAGATGACTTTCCTATTGTTTGTGAGCGTTTCACCACTTCAAAATTGCGCGAATTTGACGATTTGCAGAATATCTCGACGTATGGTTTTCGGGGCGAAGCTCTGGCTAGTATCAGTCATATTGCACATTTGACTATTGTCTCAAAAACCTGTAACGAACTGTGTGCTTATAAGTGAGTATAAAACGGTTTGAGTTGACTGAATTGATTAGGGCACAATTTGTTGATGGGAAGCTCCAAGGATCTCCTCTACCGACTGCGGGGAATCAAGGGACTATCATCACAGTCGAAGATCTATTTTTTAATATGTCAGTCCGGAAAAAAGCGCTGAGGAGTCCAGCTGAAGAGTATCAAAAAATTTCTGAAGTTGTAGGGAAATACGCAATTCATAATAGTAAAGTGGGGTTTGGGTTAAGGAAATCGACTGAAAATAATGATATAAGGACTCCGCCCGATTCCACGTGCGTTGAGAATATTAGAATTATCTATGGAAATAGTATTGCAAGAGAAGTGGTCGATTTTGAGCTACAAAATGACATTTTAAATTTTAAAGCGAGGGGGCACATGACAAATGTTAATTATTCGAGCAAAAAATTAACTTTTTTACTGTTTATCAACAACAGATTAGTCGATTGCAATAGTAAGTTATGTCGGTTTTATTAAATTTTTATCAATTGTATTTCTTTTAAGACTTGAAAAAATGTATTGATCAAGTTTACGCCACTTATCTCCCAAAAAACAGCCACCCTTTTGTTTATCTAAGCCTAGAATTAGATCCTGTAAGTGTCGACGTGAACGTCCACCCCACCAAACACGAAGTTCATTTTTTAAACGAGGAACAAATCATTGAGGCAGTTTGTGGGGCCCTTGAGACCAAATTGTTAAAGTCTAACAATTCCAGAGTCTACTATACTCAAGTAACAAATCGAATTTGATTCTTCAATTAATTTGGAAGGGTTTTAGGCTAAACTTCCGGGGGTCCAGGTCGAAAATTTGCCTCTCAAAGACCCCGACAAAGACAAATCTAAAATAAATCCTAAAGAATTGGTCAGAACTGACGCAAATGAGCAAAAAATTGAAAAGTTTTTTGGGGCTCCACTCGACCAAAGCACGTCAAAATCGAAACAAACGGAGGTGTTGAGTGCTCCCTTTATTTCAAAAGTTAATAGGTGCTTCGTTTTGTTGTATTTTTTGTTTTAATTAATTAGATTATTTTAGGGTTGAAACCGAATTGGCCAGTATTTTAGAATTACGCAAAGACGTTGAAAAAAATTGTCATAGAGTGTTACGTGACCTTTTCTCTCAACATGTTTTTGTGGGGGCTATTAACCCGTTTCAGGCTCTCATTCAATATAGCACGAAATTGTTTCTGTGTAACACTAAAAAAATCATGTCTGAATTGTTATATCAGTTTATTTTGTATAATTTTCAAAATTTTGGTTTTATAAATTTTGCCAAGCCTTTACCGGTTTATGATTTGGCTTTGCAAGCGTTGGAACTGTCGGAAGTCGGGTGGACGCCTGAAGATGGGGAAAAGACAGATTTGGCACAAAAAATTACTGATATTTTAACCAAAAACGGGGAAATGTTGAACGAATATTTCTCGTTGAATATTGATGAAGGAGGACAGTTGGTTTCTCTTCCGTTGATTTTGGGTAATTTAACGAAAGAGTTGCTAATTAATTTGTTGCATTTTTTTTTAGATAATTACACGCCTGATATAGCCGGACTTCCGGTGTACATAGTTAGATTAGCGACTGAAGTTAATTGGGAGACGGAAAAGGAATGTTTTGATACTGTCGCCAAAGAAACCGCTCTTTATTACTCCAAAATGAGCGAGAATTCAAAGTGGGAAACCAATGACTGGAAATGGGTAACCGAACACGTGGTTTATGCAGCAGTCAAAGAATATTTTATCCCTCCGAAGAAGTTCACCGAGAACGTGGCAGTTCTCGAAATCGCTAATTTGCCTAATTTGTACAAAGTATTCGAACGGTGTTAATAAAATTTTGAAAAAATTCACTTGTTAAGTTGGTAACCCATGTCCCCACCACTGGCGCCCTCTCTATTGACATTTTTAAAATAACCAAATTGTAAAGATACAGCGTCCAGGTTGCCGTATATGGTCATAATCACTTGAATATATTAAAATTTAACTTTCTTACTCGACCCGTTTAAGGTAACGCACACTTCTTTTACTTACCAACACTGCACCAAAACACAATCACACTTGTTTTGTTTAGTGACATAATATCGCAGCTGACTTGATGTTAGTTTTCACAAATTTGTAAACAAATCACTTGTTATAACTCGATGTTTCAGTTTTAGAGAAGGATGTCGGCCCCCGGTCGCAAGAAGAAGCACAATTTGAAGCTCCAAGTCAGTGACGAGGCACCCCCAATGTAATTAATCATTTGAGGTTATGGAAGTTTGTGTTTAATTTTTGTTTTGTAGAATCGCCCCAGCTAACTTGGATAAGAGGACAACCATAACAATCGGCGACCGGACATTTGATGTTGAAGCGGATGATTTGGAAAAAATTGCGGATTTGGGTCGGGGGGCTTACGGTATAGTTGAGAAAATGCGACATGTACCGAGTGGGACAATAATGGCCGTGAAACGTATCGCTGCCACTGTAAATACCCAAGAACAGAAAAGACTGCTTACTGACTTAGATGTGTCAATGAGGAGCAGTGATTGTCCATATACAGTACAGTTCTACGGGGCGTTGTTCCGCGAGGGAGACGTTTGGATTTGTATGGAGGTGATGGACACGAGTTTAGATAAATTTTACGCAAAAGTGTACAAACACGGTCGGCGAATACCCGAGGATATGTTAGGTAGGGGATTCACACTTGTGACCTGCCAAGGCACTACCATCTTAATTTTTTCCAGGAAAAATCACTTTCGCCGTAGTCAGTGCCCTCCACTACCTCCACACCAGATTACGGGTCATCCACCGGGATGTCAAACCATCAAATATCCTTATTAATAGACAGGGAGAAGTCAAAATGTGTGATTTTGGGATTAGTGGATATTTGGTAGACTCCATTGCCAAGACTATAGATGCTGGGTGCAAGCCGTACATGGCTGTATGTATCCCAATTGCTTATGATTCATGTTTTTTAAATTATTATTGTACTCTAGCCTGAAAGAATAGACCCCCAGGGAAACCCCTCACAGTATGACATCCGTTCCGACGTTTGGAGTTTAGGGATATCACTGATTGAGTTGGCAACGGGTCAATTCCCCTATCCTAGATGGGGCTCTCCGTTCGAACAGTTGAAACAAGTGGTCACCGATGACCCCCCGAGGTTGCCTTCAGGTCAGTTCACGGCCGAATTCGAAGACTTTATTTCGAAGTGCTTACAAAAGAAGTACACAGACCGATCAAATTACGAACAGTTGTTAAATCACGAGTTTCTGCTCCAACACAAGGAGACAAGCACGGATTTTTCGTCGTTTATTTCAGAGATTCTAGATTTACCCGAGAATCCCTGAGATTCGTGCAATATTTCTTAATTTAGGAATATTTTTTTTATTTCAATAAGATTTTAATTTTAAAGGAGTCTTCGTTTCTTTGTAAACTTTCTTGTTATCGACTAAAGTACAAAGTGACATTGAGTTTTTATGAACAAGTTATTGAATGCACGATAGAAATTTTAAACACTATATTGTTCTAGAGTAAGAGTTCACATAGTGTTCGTCGATAATTGCCTAATAATCCTAGTTACAAAGTCAATTAAACCGTAGCGATAGGATTAGTAACTGAATCTTTTTTTTTTTATTTTAATTTTTTATTTTGCATCACATGATTTTAAAATGAATTATTAGCTCCTTAATTTGCTCAACACTCTTTTAAACTATTCTCAGTATGTTGATTTTATTAATTTATTTTATTTTCTTACTAGTATTACTCATGTTTTAATCATTAGAGTTGTATGATTTTAATTTTATTGTGAAGCGTGTGATAATAAATTAGTACACTTAAAATCAACACTTTTATTTTATATATAAACAACATTCCAGTCTTATCAAATGAAATCAGTAAACTGGTTTCGTTTATACCAATTATATAAAAATATAGTGTTCAGTTCGTATCGTTAAAATGGAGAATTCATTCCTAATTTTGTTCCAAAGTCTAATCGGGCTCTCTTCCTGAATCGTTTATTTACCCTAAAACACAAGTAAAATAAAAAAAATCACAGCTTAGAATCAAAATCTTTTACATTATTTCCTGCTGTTTAATTAGTTCATTGATAAAAAACACTAAAAACGGAGATATTGCTGCAAAAATTATCACCCAAAGTGGTATTTGCAGTTGGATACTACTATCGGTATTATTTTTTATATTATAAAAACTTAAAATCGTATAAATACTTTGAAGCAATACCCTGAAATTACGCAACTTTTATTATAATTGTGTGTACAAATGAAACACTTACAAAATAAAGCAAGTTATTATCCAGTAAAGATTCTTGATTGGTGGTCTTTTATAAATTAAATAATCTCTAAAAACAAAACCTATCGAAATAACAACTAGAAAATATTGGGTATAATTTTGAATTCTGTGAAAAAAATTAATTACCAAAATGCAGTAAAACAATGAACACAGTAATAAGTCTTGCCGTTGAAATCGTCCAGGATTCTTCTTCCCATATGAACTCAGTCGATAAATAAAAAGCTTGACAGGTGCAATTTCGTATGCCACAAATCTCTACACAATGCTCAGCCAAAATGCCTACAAACGTCACAATAACAACAACAACAGTCGGAAAAAACTTCAATCCGTAACACCACAGAATAAACATCGAAATACCAAGATTGACCCCCACTTGGTTCTTCCCTTGTGGCTTCTTCATGACTTCCGGATCGACCGGAAGCCCCATCAGAGACACGCTCAACATTGGAACAACCAAACAAGTCAACCACAAGATTTGTCCCGTGGTCAAAACTGGAGGCAACATCACCAATACCGAAACCAACTGCATGACACTCAAGATGACGCAACAAGACACCCAGAACTGAACCGCACTCCAGAGGATGGTGACAAAATGGCGCGCTTCCATGACTAGATGATAAAACGAGATCGGATCCTCGCGTTTAAGACACAGGGAACAGGCGATAGAGTTCAAGTCTCGCGACAAATCTAGTGGCGAAACTCCCGTCTTTGGTTTCTGATAAACTGGGACTTTTTGACACATTTGCGGAAATAGGGGGTCTACAGCGATACTCGCATCGGCCTGCATGAAAATCCCAGCGTTTTCGCAGTTGGCCGAGGAGCCCATTATGCATACGATTTCGCCGTAGTCTTGCATGATATTGAGCATTTCGCGGGTCGCACTGGGGGTACAGTCGGTAAAGAGGGAAACTAGCAAAGGGACATTATCGATAAGCTCGATATGGGGGCGAATTTTATCAATGCCACGGGGTAATTTAGCCTGAAATATTACCAGTGATAAATGACAAACACACACTTGATTATTACCCGGTTGCTCATGTCGAAGTTAATGGGGGCGCTCTGCTCGGTACTGTCGGTGAGACAACTCAAAGATTGCCAATCGTGCGAAGTGTTGATTTCGTTGTGGATTTGGACACTGTCACGACTTGCCATTTTTGTGGAGTATACTCCACTTTGGTCACTTGAATTTTTATTGAGGCATTCTTGTTCTGTGTCAAACTTTACAACCGAATGCTCCATGTTTATGGCACTGGGGGCCGAGAAACTCATTGTTCGGGATGATTCCAAATTGCTGAAGTTTAAAATGACAGTTGGTATTGTGAGAGTAAAAGGATTTTAAGCTGCAAAGCTTGTAGCGTGTTTGCCGTCATTTCAAAGCTGGTGTTGTTGAGGGTTTGCACATGCATGGCCACGCCCCTAGTGGGCGTGGTAAGCCATTTCGACACCGCTTTGAAACTGGCCCAACTTGACCATTATTTTAATAAAAACAATGCAGTAAATGTTTTGAATGTTGTACCTATCAGAGAGTAAACAAGACTTTTCGTCATTATGCGGAGTTAGCTTGCGAGCACTTTGCGATAACCGTCTCTGTCTTTCTTTCCGAGGATTGGTACTAACGGTTTCCGCTTGTCCACTGTCACGTCTGTCCTCCCAGCAATTAGTACAATAAAACACACAAACATTTAAGTGAACAGAGATTAGTAAAAAGTGAAAAAAGTAGGTATTCCACATAAAGTCACCCTTATTTAAAATAAATGAAAGTCAGGAAAAAAGAATCTGTAACGGAACTGAGGTGAGATTAACAAGCATTAAAGACAAACATTTAAATGCCCACCGAATCGAAATTGGTTTATTCTAACCTGTTACGTTCGCTTAAAAGCGAAATGTGGCAATTCCAGCCGCTTTCTAGCCCCATTTTTTCGCTGAAAACGCGCGAGCGGAGTTCATTTTCCTTACTGAAATGAACGAATCGAATGCAGGCACGTTCCAACTGTTCGATTAGCTGAACCTGGGACAAAAAAAGTGTGACGCAAGGAACCACTTCAGAACCTCAATTTCTTACCATGTCGGTCAATGCTTGGTATTGCATAGTGACCATTCCGATGAAAACCTGATTACACTGCATTTGGAAGCAACTTTCGGCATCAGAAACGTCAACCGACGGACAATCATTGTACAAAAGAGAGTCTACAAAAATAATTTCGCAAAGTTTGTAAACAAAAATCACGAAAAATTACCAGTGCTAAAAAATTGCCCTAAAGGTGTCTTGATCTTGGGCTCAAGGACACTCTTACAGTCCCAATGGACCGGCGTGGGACTCCTGTAATTCATATACAGGTGTCTACTATCACTCGGTAATTCCAAATAAACTCCTCCCAGTTTACTGCTAACACATTTATTTAAGGGCCGGTAGGCGAAAGCCGTACAATACGCCGTGAGACTGCTCCTTTGATAAAAATCCAGGATTTTTTTACGATCAGAAGGAGTCAAGGGGCACAAATCATGTCCGTCCCAATAATCCACACACGAATCCAAAATTATATCAGCTGTTCCTTCAGATAACAACTGCATAGACCCACTACTCAACTCTTTGACGACAACAGCAAACATGTGAGGGAATGGAAATTTGAGTTTTGTCGAAAGTTGCAAAGTCCGGGCATATTTATTATCTCTACGAACCATTTCCGGTTGCTAAAAAGGCAAGGTTTACATCACGTGATTCCAGAGGCGGGCTTACCAAGTGTCGGAAAGTGGAAAGTTGTTGTTCTAGTGCGAAAATTTTCTGGGCTTGATCCACAAACCCAATTTCTTTGGCTAACTCGCAAAGACAGCGTCGATTGCTCACTGGGACTAAGTTTTCGTTGTAAATGGCCTCACAGGTGATGTGACTACAAAAAGCAGCGTAGTGCTCCTGAAAACCATAACAAAAAATCATCTTCATTAATAATTATGGGGCCCCAAACCTGTGTTTCAACATTGCAAGTGTTTAGCAAAATTGCTAGTCCTAGTGGTTTTAGAGAAGTTAAGTATTGGTGCCACTCATGATCATCAAAATGCAGTTTAAAAGGGTCACTGTGATTGTGTGTTAAGTCTAAAACTTCACCAACTGTGGTGTTTGGACTTTCGAAGTAGTGATGAGGGGTCCCTCCGACGCTGTCACCGTCTGGGGCCAAGTCCCCCACGTTTCCAAGACTTGATGAAGGGGAAACGTTTTCGTTATTGTGAAGGAAAAAGATTTTTTCAGCTGTGGGGTTGGGCCATGAGAGGATTCCTTTCTTATCGACACAACCAAGAGCCTGAAATTTTCTACTAAAAAGTGTCTCCTTTATGTTTCAAAGGTCTCACAGTGACGGACCCCAAGACGTGCAAAATATTGGCGGAATGTACTAACAGATCCGGTTGTCCTTTAATAATGGAAACAAAATTTTTCCAAAGTTCCCGTCGACGACATTTCAACTCTTGGTGATCAATGGTTGAAGTTTCAGTGTCTTCTTCAAGGGGGTTATCTTTGTAAGCTTCAATTTTTTTCGAGATATCCAAAATGCAGCGAAATCGAGCCAATCCGAAATAATTCAATAAATTCCACGCCACAGGGAAAATTAACGGAAGCAAAGGTAAAATTGCTGAAATTGGGACGATTAGGAACATCACAGAGGGGCGATTGGGGCCCAAAGGAAACAAAAATCGGAACAAATTCACAACGCACACGACCAAAAAACAAATTGGGAGCAAAAAACGCTCTATGATTTTGATCATCACTAAATGCCTCTGTTTATTGAGAAGTGTGCAAGGCCTGTCCAGTGACTGTTCTAAATAAATTCTTAAATTGTTTAAATATGGGGTTTCCAGAAGTCTGTATTTTTTATTTTCTAGCGGTTTTCGTATTTTTGGGGCACTGAAAATCTCGTTGGCACTTTGTAAAGACGGTGCATATACTTCTTTAGCGTGGAGTAGAGGAAATTCGGAAGTTTTATCAACCGCTTCGCAATAACCCGGACTCACTTGTCCCGGCCTTATCACAATTAGGTCATCTTTGACTAACAGTGCCCAGGGTAGATTGACTAGTTTGTTATCCCTGTAGGTCAATTGTAGAGTAATACAAGGCGAAAACGGTGAACACAAGTTTGGGTAATTCTCCTTCTCCCAACGCACTTCTGAGACCTTTTTAATTGTATCAAGAAGCGCTTGCACCCGACTTGGGACCTCCTCATGCCTTAATTTGTTATCATACAGTTCCAAAGTCACATTAATTAGAAGAAAAAATAAAATTGTGATACTTTCAATAAGTAAGATAAAATTTTGTTCAATGATAAAAGCAAAGAAGAGACTGGCCACTGCCCACAACTGAAAACTCGCAGACACCCAATTGATCGTGGTGTGTTGGCTGGAGTGGTGGAATGTGTCTTTGATCCAGGACTTGGATTTTCTACACAAAAGGTGAATGAGCAAGGGGCACCATGAGTAGCTCTAGTCAAACCTGGCCTTCTGGGACTGCTTCAACTGTTGCAAAACCGCCTCGATCTCACTGTGGAGTCTTCGGAGGGCCTCCTGAGTGCTCAAACCTGACTCTTCACTCGATTCCATTTTTCCGCGTTACATTATTGTGGCTAATGTCATCGCGATCGTACGAAGCCGCTCAAGTGTTTACCACTCACAAAAGATCCGGGAATTTCTTACAAAATCAGGCATATTATTGTAAAAATATTTTGAATGACATAATTCATAACCACACAAAATTCCCTAACCTTGACAGCTCCAACTGTCATTGCTGTCAAAAGTCAATTTATTGTCAGTGTTATCACACATGTTGCGTTGTTTTTACGTTTTTATATCCGAATTTTTGTGATTCCATCCGGGAGAAAAATTCTCAGGTTGTGTTTAAGTAAAAATAGGTGTAAAAAAGTGTGTTTTGTATGAATCAAACACGTATGTTATTGGCACCGTCAAGGACGTTGGGTTTAGTTCTGGCCACCATCCAAGGTAAGCGACGCGACTTTCGTGCCACATTTCTCAAGTGACATTTTGTATCGCTTTTTGGTAATTGTCTTCCTGATTATAAATAATTTTCAAACTTTTCTTAAATTTATCTGTTTGTTTTGATAGTTCAGTAAAATGGAATCGAATACTGTGGTGCAGTGCCAGTCAAAACTCCAACAACTCTTCCAAAAGTTTCTCGAGCCCGACTTTGAGATTAAAACCGACACTTATCTCAATCGTCTTCTGACCCATCTGTCAAGTCAAGAAAAAACAGGTTTGTTTATTTACATTCCGTATTGTCTCATTTTTAATACATATGTTACAGACGATCAGATTTTCACAGATTGGTTACTTCAAGCTGTAACAATATGGGAATCCCAGAAAGTTACCCCTTCCGCAAAAATCGCGTTTTTCACCCTGAATTTGGCTAGTTTAGTGTCGAGAAACGAGGGGCGTTTTTGCCACTTGAGCGGCGGTAATTTTTACATTTCTTTGATTAATGTAGTCAAAGCGAGACAACCGGAAACAACCCCAGCGGTAAAATTGGGATACATTAAGCTAATGAGGGCGTTCCTGGAGCACAAATCGGGAATTCAGTGGATTGTCGGGAATGATTTATGGATTGATATCCTGAAACTTAGTTTAACCAATCAGACTGTTTATATTACAAGAGAGGGGTATAGATTTATTGCGAAACTGCTGGAGCAAACAGTTGACGTAGATGAGGAGTTTTGCCATAGGGTTGTTAAGGAAATTATGGTGCCTCTGGGGGATAGTACGTATAAAACGATCAAACCGTCAGGGGATATGATGGAGATTAGCGATGAGACGGTTTATCAGAATTTGAGCCCCACCTTGCAACTTATTGGGGACACTCTTGAGTACTTTCTTGAAAGCGTTTTATTTACACAGAATGATTGTCGAATCGTACTGATTTTTTTACGTGATTTTCATCTGGAACAACAAATTTGTAACTTGATGATGATTGCTCAAAACAAGTATCTTGTCTTCGATTTGGGGAAAATCATGTTTATTATGCAATTTCTTGAACTCTACATTGGAGTTATTTCGAATAATTTGAAAATGGGTAATGTGAAAACTTCCGTACGGAAAATAATGAGCATTTTTCGTACAAACTTTTCAAAAGGTAATTACGAAAATGTGATGAAACTTTGCTACTACGGCCAGTTGTACTGGAACTTGATGGGTTATAAAATCCCCTGCATGAAAGTAAACAAAGACAATGAACCAATCTCCTTCGCTAACCAACTCTTAGTGATCCAACTTCTTCCAATTTTCGCAGTCGCGATGAAATATTGTGTTGGTGATAGCAGCATGATCGATTCGGACGAATTCCGCGACCAATACGTCCAAAAATTCTTCATGATGATGTGCGAAAACACCGTCCGAATTGCCTACGGCTGGCGTGACTTCCTCACATCTCAAACCAACCTCTTCGAAATCGCCACCAAAGGTCTCATCTACATAATGAAATCTCGTAAATATTACCCCCGCGAACGCGCAGCAATGACCTTCCAATCCTTCGTCTACACTCTCAAAGACGTGATGCGTGTCGTGAAGGAAGCACCTGAAAAAATCGCATTTTTCTCGCAACAAGTCGGGTTCTTCTCGCTTTTGTTTGACGCGTTTGTTGTTTTTATCGAGGAGTTTCAAATCACGTGGAGGGATAGTGTGGAGACGATTTGTGTGATGTCGATCTGTTTTGATTTTTTGAGTATTCCGACGTGGCCGACGCAACTAGTGGTGAAGGCTCTCAAGTTGGTTAATGTTAGTATAGTGAAGTACATGTCGCCGAATTTGGCGCTGTTGGTGGATCGAACGACGGATTCGACGATGGCCGTTTTGGGGCCGTTGCTATACACGAAGCTACATGATATGACCTGGGAGGTGAGGGATTCGGCCATGGAGGTGGTGTGCACCATGTCGCATCTGTCCAATACAAGTAAGTGTAAACTATGTGAAAGACGGAATTTTCGCGATTAAATTAAGCATTAAAAACACTGTTAAATTCGCAGTTATGTACTTTGAGAACAATTTTTTTAAGATAAAAACGTTATTAATAAGAAACTTTCAATAACAATTATTATCTACTCGTAATTATTAACTTGAATACACATTCCCAAATTTCAAAGTAAAACCAAAGTTCATAAAATATTTATTTAAGTCCATAATACGTATTAAACAAAATCTTCGTACAGTAAATATAGAAAATACAAAATCGGAAAGAACCAAAGACAATTTTGTGTAAAATGATCGTTTCTAAAAACTGTTTAAAACAATAAAATAGAAGCAAAATGAATGTATCCTAAAAATTTCAAGGCTAAAATGTTCAAAAACAAAAAGTTCGCAGAAGCGAAAGGATGTAAACACGTCCAATCTTAGACATCACATTTCACACTCGGTTTTTGGGATCCCAGTGCGTACTTCTATCGTAATGAACATTTCTTGATTTAAACATAATATTAAAAACACATTTTAAATAAATTTTTTTGAAAATATTTGTTTTTATATTTGAACATTTTACCAAAAATAAATACAATTTATTTACAAACTTTTCGCTTTTGAACGGGCGTTCCTTTGATACGCTAGTTAAGTATCAATAAGATACCTAATCCGTTTCTTTTGTTATCAATTTTTGAAATGAATTCATTGACATTTATTCAATTTTGTAGTTTTGTAAATATTAGGGGAATTTACAATTTTGTAAATTATAAAGGTGAGCTGCTAGCAATATAACTAGGTAATCAGGAAACGTGTCAATTTATTGACACAAGGTTTAGATTAATTTCGCATTTTTATGTCCTAGAGTTGGTATTAATGTCAATGTTAGTGACCGCGCTTTAATTAGTTATTGCAAATATTATAATTATAGTGGAACTTATTTATGATAACAAGAAAGGGTTAAAATGTTTTGTATTATTAGTATTACTAACTATTGTCTCCTTCCACAAATACATTTTTTTTTATTTTCGAACAAATCAATTAAAATGCTTGATAATACTGTGACGCATCCAGTCTTTTATAAAACCCTTAATATGAAGTGAAAATTATGAAATTTTTACGCATATGTATGCATATTTTAATCGTTTTTAACTTTTCGTGATATTTGATTGTATTTTTGATCATCATATCCCTACTGTCCGCATGCCTGTTATGGCAACGATAACAGACTAGGCCCTTAAAATTTAACGGATGGGTTAACGGACGTTGTTACGCATGTTGCTATACAAAAAGCACACTTGAAAGGCTACTTATGTCAAATTTGACATTATGATTTTGAATAATTTTGCCGAAATCTTTTAGTATCACGAAAAGTACCAATGAACGACACACGGCCTATAGCAAATAACAGACACGACTGATAGTAAAATCTGGTCTGTTGTTTGGTACATATCAGGCTTATGACGTTTATTTCTCTATACATAGAGAAATAAAGTCTTTAAAATGTATTTTGTCAATTAAATAATTTTTTATATGATGTTGTTTTTTGCCACCCGCCTAAATATTTTTCTCTGAGTGCGCTGCATCATTGTGGCAAATTGTTATTTTTTGACCCATGGAAATATGTATGTTTCATGTACTACTTTTGTCGGAAATGACCTCAACTATTGTTTTTTAAATAGGACGTAAAATATACTTTTGCATATTGTAAATTGTAAAACAAAATATTGTTTGTTCTATTTTAATACAAGGAAAGTATACAGGGTGTCAATTTTAAAACTTGCAATCGGCAATATCTCTAGAACTAAAAAAGTTATTGAGAATCACTCAAAACCGTTTCGGTGGTTTTTAGGGGGAATCAAAATGGCATGGTAAGTGACGCTCCTCCACCCACCCTTCAAGCCACAGCCACCTTAAGTTGAAAATTTTAACCCTACTTGCGATAGATCGTTGGAAAGCCCATAACAAGTGCTTTTCAAAAATGTCATACAACAGCCTATTTGATAAAGCCATTTTCCCAATTATTCAAAAACGAAGTTAAATTTTCATTTTTTTTTTATTATATTCAAGGGTGGGTGGAGGAGTGTCACTTATCATGTCATTTTAATTCCCCCTAGGAACCAGCAAAACGGTTTTGAGTGATTATTAAGAACTTTTTCAGTTAAGAGAAATTGCCGATTGCAAGTTTTAAAATTGACACAGTGTATATTAATTTATTCACAAATAAAATTAGCAAAATTACGATTTGTAGGAAAAAGTGTTTCTTTTATACTTACTATTTGTTTTATTGAGTAAATAATAATAATTATTCTTGCTATTATTTGTTTACCTTTTTTTTTGAAACCTCCACTTTTAATAAAATAAAACACAGGTGCTTAATTTTGAATAGGTCAATTAAAAAAATACACAATTTTGAACTTGTTTTTTGTTGATATTATTTCACTTTTTGAATGATTTTTTTTCGACAACTTTATGTAATATTTAATATTTTGGTGTTCGTCATTTCGACAATTAAAAGATCTATCGAATTGGCTAAAAAAATTAAGGGTTTCCATTTAAAAAAAAAAGGTTGATGACGTCATTACTCAAAAACTCAGAGTGTAAAATTTTTAATCAAGTTGAGAATTGTGAATTTTTTAAAAAGAAAATTGACCTGTTCGAGCATTTTTGCCAAAATAAAATATTTTCAGTTGCCAAAATCTGTTTTTGGATTTTTTTTAAATATTTAAAAACAGAATATAATTATAAGAAAGAGTATATTAATACCATATTTCTTTTGATGAATACAGACAGAAAATAATAGAAATGTCACTTCAATTTTGCTTTTA